GTCATACAGAGTGAAAAGATACAAGAAATAAGATGATTTTATGTTGTTGAAATGTACGCTATGTTTGACAAATCTAGAAAGGACGCATTATATTGATCAAAAGTGACAATAAAGGCTTTTGTACTGTTAAAAATTATATTTCAAATAATGCAGTTCTTTTTAACTTCTTATTCATCAAAGAAGACAGTAAGCAGCATTTCCAAGTGTGACAATAGTAAGAAATGTTTCTTGATTATGAATAATGATTTCTGAAGGATCATGTGACACTGAGGACTGGAGGAAAATTATGTTTTGTTGTCACAGGAAAACATTACATTTTAAAATAAAGCTTTTTAATAATATAATATTTCACAACGTCACTGTTTTTTGCTGTATTTAAAAATAAAAATAAATGCAGGCTTGTTGAGCTTAAGAGAGATCTCTTAAAAAACCCGAAATTTTTGAACGGTATAGTTATATTTTGGATCATGCCATTGATTGAGCATGCACTTGACAGGGTGAAGTGTCCCTGTTGAGGACTGAGGTGATTCGGCTGAAGGAGCTGCTGTTGGCCCATAAGGACTGCCCTGTAACTGCCATGCAGAAAAAAGCATATCTCGGTAAGATACACCCACATATTTCCTTTATATATCATATATCCTTCATGCCCAACCTTCATTTCTCTCTCTTTAGCTGCAGGAGTAGATGAGAGTTCAGTGTCGGCGTTGGTGATGCCCGTGTCGGTCCCGGCTCCGGTGTCTGTTAACGGTCTGAGCGTGCGCGCGGCGGAGGCTGTTGCTGTTTTAGCGGGAATGGGCTCGGGTCAGTGGAGTAGCACGTCTGGGGATGCTTCCTCCCAATCACAGCCCACATCCAGATGATGAGCACGTCGTTCAGCCAATAGGAACTAAATATACTTTTGAGTCTTTCAAAGGAGCGAATCCCCGTTTCCCCTCAAAACTCTGTCACGGTGTGTTTGTGAATCGTCTCATGTGACAAATGGGAACCAATGTTTCCACGTTCTGACCACACCCCGTTCACAGACTCTCCGGGCGACATCATAGAACGCCCCTGTCAGACTGCACAGACTAGGAAGCACTGCAGAAATGAATTATCTTCTGTCATCTCTAAAAAAGAATACACCTTTACTTAAACTTGTATAGATCTTCTCACTAATGCATTCAATTGATATTCGTCTTGTTTGCAGATATTTTTAATTATTTGGCATTTTAGTCGATGGTTTTTCTAATGGATTCGTTGCATGATTCTGGCCACATTAGAAAGATGATTTCTACACTATGCAGATAAGTTTATCGCCTTCTTTCTCAGTCTCTCTTTGTGACACTTTCTCACACATACTCACTCTCACCATTTCTCCCAGTTTCCTTTTCTCTCTTCTAATTTTATTATCGTATGTACAGTAATTTCTCTCAGGTCTGTGCTTCGTTTTGGTGAAGATCATGTCTCACACGTTAGTGTAACCTGGCGCCGCACAGAATGGACTTGCAAAAGCTTAAGAATGGAGAGAAAATATATTTTTATATTTGAATATCGTTATCAGTTTGTCTGCATTTTGCTATATATATATATATATGGATATATTAGGGCTGTGAAATGATTAATCGTGATTAATCGCATCCAAAATAAAAGTTTGTTTTTACGTAATATATGTGTGTGTAGTGTGTATGATTATTTTGTATATATAAATACACACACGCATGTATATATTTAAGAAATATTTGCATTTATATGCTTTATATATATTTATACAAAATTAATATCATACATAAATATAAATATTTGATATATAAATCATACATTTTGCTTAAATATATACATGCATATGTGTGTATTTATATACAAAATAATTATACACACTACACGCATATATTATGTAAACACAAACTTTTATTTTGGATGCGATTAATCATTTCACAGCCCTAATATATATATATTTACATGGATATATAGATATACGGATATGGATGTGACGGGTAGTGTAACCATGTGGACATGTTTTAGATCAGTATGATTATGATATGCTCTGCTGAATTATAGGTATCTTTAACCAAAATACATAAATCCTTTTGCATTAGAGGTTAGACCCTAAAGTTTGAGTGCATCTAGTCTCTTATCAGGGAACATGTACACAAAACTCACACGTAATGACTCGTGCTTGCATTTTGTGAATGTACAGTAGTTAACTAACCCAGCTATGAATGTGAGGCCTTGTTTCTAAATGGTTGAAATGCTTTTGAGCAAAATTGAGTCTTAGAAACTGTTATAGAAATTAAATATTTCTGTTAAAATATTATTTTTGGACCTGAAAGGCTCACACTTGGCCATCCTCAATGAATTTCATCTGGAGCGCATAACACGTAGCCGAAGTTGTATTCCATTAAAAAGTTCACGCCTGATCATGTTATCAATAGGAGAATCTGCATAAGCTGGGCTTATCAAAACCATTGCAGTTTTCTTATTCAACTTTGAATATCATTTTTTTATGGAAGTTCATTTCTGCCACATAAGAATTTTTTTTGTTTAATTATGATTTGGTAAATGAAGTCATAATTATGAGAGAAATTCAATTCCTAGTTCTAAATTACATCATACTAGGTTGTAAATATATTAAAATTGACACACACACAAAAAAAAACTTTATAACTGAATTTTTGTCTCATAAATATTAATTTCAATGTCATAATTATGACTTTTAATTTATAATTATTATTTACCGAAGCATGATTATGATTGTTTTTCTGATGTGGAGGACATTTTTGGACAAAGGCATATAAATATATTTTTAATATTTTGATTAGATGGTAAGTAGACTATTTAGGTTTTATTTTAATGATCCACCCAGCCATATCAGTTTCTGTCATTGACCTTTTTTTGCATCTGGATTTATCATATTTGGATGTAGAACGTACTGCTTTCCACTGTGTGTATAACTCACTGATCCCAAATTGTGTGATGTGTCAGTGAAGCCCTAAACTAGAGCTGTAAATATGAAATGAGTGTCAGCATACAAACATTGCTTACCGTATGATATTGACTAACTGAAACGGTCCTTAAGATATGTTAAAATTAAACATTGATGGAACTTTAGCCTCTTGTACATTTAATGAGATGCTGCTTTATTGCTGCTTTTTGTCCTCTTGTTTTGAAGGTGTTATATTCCTCTGTGTATATAGAAGTGGTGAGGTGGGACTTGTGTGCGTGACTTCTCTGTGTATATGAAATAGCTTGGATGGGATGGATATACATTGTGTTTATGAGTGTGAGCAATATATTATAAATCTTGTGTAATACCTTTAATTTGGGCCATCTAAATCATGTTTAAATTGATATTTATACTAGTGCATGTTTCTTAGTATTTTGTCCATCAACTTAATCCTAACCCCATCCTTATCTCTATAGTCAAAATCTACCTTAAACTATAAAATTAGAGGACACTGGTTGGTTACTTGAATTGTTTTTCCAGAAAACTGTTTAAAAACGTTAACAGTAACTTTAAAGTAATGTGAAAATGATATGGTAAAAATAATGTTATGGGGTTAGTTCACCCCAAAATGAAAATTCTGTCAGTAATTGTTTGCCCTCATGTTCTGAGTGAGTTAACATAGTGTATCAGCACAGCGGTTCTGTGTTGTACATCACACGCATCACACACATGACCAGTGTGAGCCTACATTCTGATGTAGCCACAGAAGCGCTGTGCTGTTACACTACATGAACTCACTCAGAGGTCCACACGGAAGAAAATGAATACGGTAGTTGAATAAAGTCGTTATTTTTGTTTGTTTTGTCCACAAAAACTATTGTCGTCGTTTGATAAACTTATGGTTGAGCCACTGTAGTCACTTTGTAATTTCTGACAGATTTTTTATTTTGTTGGGTGATCTAATCCTTTAAGGTTGAGTAAATAAATCTGTAATAGCTCTAATTGGACTTGTCATGCACTTCTATACAGTAAAATATGGTTACATGTACAGGTTTTGGATCTAAGAACAAGTCTTTTGTAGAAGAACATGAAAACAAGTTCTATAATTTACAGGGGATAAACAGGTTTTGGCAGAACATAAGAGCAAGTCTTATAATTTACAGGAAAAACAGAAAGCAAATTGACATTCGCAGATTTCCCTGTGTGACACTTTTTTTTGTTTAAAGAATTCAGTTTCTTCTTAGTTATGTTGTTTTGTTATCAGTTATGTATTAGGGTTTTATTTCACATCCTGTTACATTTTTGTTTATTGCATTATTTTTAGTGTTATGTGTTCCATGATGTTATTTATTTATTTGTGTGTACAACACCATGCACCTTTTATATATTATTATTTGACTCTGCTTGTGGAAAAGATATTTGTGGTGAACTTTGATTCTTTACCAATAGTGTTTTATGGTGGTTGTCAATGTTATAAAGGTACAAACCAGATTTTAGTATATTAACATTACACCAGTTAAAGAAATGTTATTGTTACTGTAAATATGAAGTGTTTACCATAAATTTCACTGATTTATCTATGTTAAAGGGATAGATATTTTAAAGACTTTCTGCAACCAGACACTTGATGGCACTCATTGACCTCCATATCCCTTTAAACAAACAAGTCAGAAAAAATTTACAACATAGATAGGCTAAATGATACAGTATGTACTGTAGGCTAAATCAGGGTAAAGCAATAATTAACCCAGATATCAAATTATGCTATTATTTATTCACCCTGATGTCGTTTATAATCTATATAAACTCTTTTTTGATAGGCTTGGTTGCTATGAACTATAGGAAAAGGTCTGCGTGAAGCTACTACAAAATTTCTCCTTTTGTGCATCTCAAAAGAAACTACCTATGGATTTAGAAAGACACAAATGAGCAAATAACGACAGAATTTTTATTTTAGTGTAAACCATTAGTTGGTCAAATGATTTCGTTAGATAAAGATTCTCCCTCACCACAGCAGAGGGAGCAAAATCGCCACGGGTTCTGACCACAGGCTCAGACTCCTCATCTCGAGCCCTGGTCATGTGACTCTTCCCATCGGTTGGGATTTCTCTCTCGGCATGGCGGAGATGATGGAGCTCGGTCTGCTGCTGTCTAATACCATTTGCTATTCTATGTGAGGAGGACACGGGCATTTTTGTTGTCGGTAAACCTTTCTGCGCCGTTCTTTCCCCCCGAGTTGTGGCCATAATGGCGGAGCGCGGTGTGGATGTGTCTGCTCTCCCCCAAGAGGTCCGGGAGCAGCTCGCTGAGCTGGACCTGGAGCTGTCGGAGGGTAAGCCTTTAAACAACAAGGGCTTTTCCTCTCTTGTCTGAATGCCTGCGTTTGGATAGATATGTGTTGATTTGACAGGCTCAGTCGTGCATCCTCACTAACAGCATCCACACAGGTTTCGTGCTGATGATGCTTCAATGTCGCCGCCGCTCGTGGAAACATACTGACCTCTTTTTCTGCATCTCACTGGTTCAACGTCGCGTTTAATTTTAAACGCCTGTTCAGCTTCGTTTTGCTCTTTAAATGTCCTGACATTGGTCTAACGTGTTTCCTTATTGACTGTTATGTTGTGTAAAACAAAAACACTGTCCGTGAAGCGCTGGATGTATTTAGCTATGTGATTATTTACAGGCCATGGATATTCTGTATGTGGCCTCCTCATATTTACAGACTTCATCAACTAGTAGTATAAGTGTCAGACTGTCAATTGTATAGTTGATCTTTACTGTCATTGGATATAATATTCATATTTATAATAGTTTTAAAACAATAGCTTCAGTATAGGCTAATAATATTCTCTTTATGGTCAATCTGTAACGCTTATTTTAATGGTTGAAGATTTATTAAAGAGTGTAGGCTACACACTGACAGTGCTACGAATAGACTGAAACTCATTTTACCTCCATAAAAAATCAACACTCATAGACTATAATATACAATGAGAGGTCAGGTATGGCAAGCTATTTAAACGCTTACTAACAAGGTAATAATTATTATCCATGGTATTCAATTATTTAGTTAAAAATATTATTTATAAATAATCTTTATGCAATAAATCCAGGTTAAACATGAAGAGGACTGTCAACATCCCAACCACAGATCACAATAGAAATCACTGACAAAAACTTGCATTTTATATCTAGTAAGTACTAGAGTCTAAAAAAAATAAGTTGCAAATTTGACAAAAAGATACTAATCATTACTGAATTACTTGTGATAATATAAAGTTTCATATCATAAAAATAGAAACTTGTTCTAAGGAATAAATGTTTAAACAGCTTGCCATAGGACATGTAAAGCGCTCACTCAAACAATGGAACTTGGCATAGAGTGGCCTGGTGTCACCTGTGAAACTTTTTTCTGGGCTTTTCAATGAATAGCATCAAAATAATGCAGTATATATGCAACTTGATATAAATAAAATATTACTAGTTTATTTAACATTTCAAATGGTTTACAGCATGAATGGTGCGTCTAAACCTCTGCTAATCAGAAATACATTGAAGAATTATAACACAGATATGTGTGTGTGGTTGTTTACATTTAATTGTCATTGTGATTCACCGCAGAAGGGGCTCGGTTTGTTTGTGTGTGTTTAGTCATCCTTATGTGTTATGTAAGCCTTTCAGCGGTGGTGTGTGAAAGATTCAGAAGAGCAAAACAATATCTTAAACAGCATTACCCAAATATAAAAAGAGATTCTCATTAATCTCTGCACCAGAGAATTGTTTGGCATAACAGCTGATCTGCCATCAGTGCAGCCTGGATTCATTCTCAGTATGTCTGTCCCCCACACAAATCAAGAGATCACCTGGAGGCAGATTACAAATGGTGGACTATTTGCTTTTGGCTTGTTGGTGTGTTTTTGGGATTTCATGGCAGTTGTGAACAACATCATCTTGTGTCCTTGCTGATGCAATTTTGCAAACACACACCCACTTTATTCCTCCCTTTTTTCCTATTATATATGATGTTTATGTATGTTTATGCTAAGACTGCGTATCTATTTCTCAAAGCCCACAATGCGGTACTGGCACAATTCACAGTCCCCACCTACAGTCTTCACTTTTTGGCTCTTAGACAGGAGATGCCTGCTGCAGCCCTTTGAGTACAGTTAAACTGACTTATTCATTAAGAAGCGAGGTGTGCTTTAGAGAAATGACATGTATATGAGTGTGTGTTTAGCATCACGCCCATATCTTATGTCCTTTGCAGTGAAGACTTAATAGGTGACAGCACAAAGAAAATGTCAGAATGAAAGACTCTTTATGTCAATGTCTGAAGGACCATTGGGAGTAGTAAACCTCTTTAGTGATGACTACCTCCAGCTCACTTCTGCTGATGATTTTTGTTTGAGTTCAGACATAGTAGAAGTGTAGTTTATAGAGCTGCTGTTATTTCTATTCTCCTGTGATGGCAGGCTTTTTATTGTTTTAATAGCAGAATAATGTGTTATGACAATATTAACACATTTGCATGAATAGTAACAGTTTTTACTGTACTGTAAAATATGATATGTTGGAATCAAAATATGATTTGGATCAGGGTTAACTAAAGCTAAAACTATGTAGGGGAAAAACTTTTACAATACTTCAGTAAAAATAAAATACATACACCAATATAAAAAATTAGACTTTTCTTTCAGCTAGTAGCTAAGATAATCACTCATTTTCTTTTAGTTTAACTTGAAGTATACTGAAATAACTAAAATTTAAATGAAAGTTAAATAAAGATGGATAAGAATGACATGGATTTATAAAAAAAACTAATACAAATGATAAAATACACAATAAAATTACTGAAACTTATGAAAATAAAAAATAGCAAATATAATAAAGACTAATGCAAAATATTAATAACAAATAAAATAGTATATGAATTAGGGCTGTCAAATGATTAATCACATCCAAAATAAAAGTTTGTGTTTACATAATATATGTGGGTGCACTGTGTATAATTATTTTATATAAATACACACATGCTTGTATAAAATATTTTCATGTATATAATGTATATATAATTTATTTTATATATAAATATAAATATTTTATATATATATATATATATATATATATATATATATATATATACACACACAAAATAATTATACACAGTGCACTCACATATATTAAGTAAACACAAACTTTTATTTTGGATGCGATTAATCGTGATTAATTGTTTGACAGCCCTAATATAAATGATACTAATGTAACACTTTTTTGGACATATACCACACAAGTGACAAAGGATGGTATGAATCATTATTTTATTAAGTATAATTCTCCCTCTCTGGAGAAGTGCATTTACTGCCCATTTTACTTCTGTCAAGTGACTTATTTCAAAGTGAGATATAGGAGGATATTCAACGACAAATTTCAGGTAAAATTATATTATTGAATTAAAAAAAATCTTTTGTAAAGAAATCCTAATAGCCTTAATATTTAATAAAACTATCCTTACATATATTTGCATACTTTAAAAAATAATATATGTTTAAAAAAATTTTTATATTCTTCCTGGGCCAGCAGAAAAATATCCTTTTTGTTGAGCTCTGTAAATTAAGCAAATTAAGGAATATACACTACTTATATATTATAAATATTAAAGCAATAAATCACATGCATGTATTTGTTTACAGTAACAAGATGAGTCTACAGAGAGATCAGCAGATATTCGTTATTTCTAATGAACGTGTGTTGTGAATGAAAGAGTTTGTCTCTACGTGTGTGTGTGTGTGTGTCTTTGTGACAGAGGAAGAGGGGTGGAGATAGGAGGTTTTGACACACTCACACACACAATGAGCACCATTGAAAGCATCAGGGCTGAGCAGTTGTGATCTCTGAATTCCCAGCACATACTCAGACGCTTTTACGCACTTAAGCTGATCAAATGAGCTGTGTGTGTGTGTGTGTGTGTGTGTGTGTGTGTGGAAATCCTCTTCCATAGCTAGTCAGCATATACTTAAACTAAAGAGGCTCGGACTAACAGTATAATGTCTGATTGTGTGCATCTGTTCAGGTAACCTCAGTAGCTTAAGCACCCACTGTGTCTGTAGGAGGACAGGCAGATTTTCTGAGTTGTAAAGAGAGAGAGAGAGAGAGAGAGAGAGAGAGAGAGTGGGAGAGAGAGACCTAGGGACAAAACAGAAAGAGAGAGATTACTTTAATCTAGGTCACAGAGGACCAGGAAGCAAATACACTCATTTACCCATGATTCACAGCAAGCTTTCTAACATGTTGCCCTGTCTCTCCCACTATATTTTCTCTCTTTTTTCTTCTTTCCCCTCTATCCTTATCCCATCCTTCCTTTAAAAAAACTCTTGGTTTGCCTAGCTAGTTCGCTCTCAAGCGCACACCACACAGGGCATGTTAATAGTTCATATCTTTTGCAATGCTTGCGATATATGGGTTCCTCACTAACTGAATTATTCACCAGTCTGACTCGAAAAAGACGAGATACACACTTTACACACACTATATTCATTCAGAGAGCAGAGTTTTCCAAATTGCCAGTTGGAGCTTAAATATCTCTCTCATAACACTTGCCACAGGTAACACTTAACTAGAGCTTACGTGACTGAAAGTGGTATGAATATTTCATTCCTATAACACTGCTATTCTCGGCTATGTTGTATGTTTGAAAGTTTCAGAATTGAAGTTGGACTCTGGATGAGGTCTGAAGTCCAATGTAACAAAAAGTACCATATTTTTAGATAATATTTATATATGTAAATACCGTATATAGTAATCATTCATTTGCATACCAAAAATCTGAGATCTGCTAAAGGACTGAATGTAAATGTAAAGTGGATGTTAAAGGGATAGTTCCCTTTGAAATGATTTATTTATATGTTTTAGCTTACCTCAAGGGCACCCAAGATGTAGGTGTCTTTGTTTCCACAGTATTTTAAATTTTGATATTTTTAGGTCAAACGCAAATGTAAGTACAAATTGATGCCCTAAGACATGAAACAAGCGGTTTGTGTGAGAAAAAAAAACAGTATTTATACTGTTTTTACCTCTTGTAACCACAGCCACGTCCAAGTACTCTGAGGGTGAGGGAGCTTCTATCTGCGCAAGCGCTATCCGGCGCGCTTACGCAGATAGAAGCGCCCGTACCTTCAGATCACTTGGACGTAGCTGTGGTTACAAGAGGTAAAAACGATATAAATACTGTTCGTTTTCTCACACAAACCGCTCGTTTCGTGTCTTAGGCCATCAATGTGTACTCACATTTATGATTCATTCAATCATGTTTAATTTGGACTTCTGTGTGCATGCTCTTTGAGGTGGACTCAGGGTGGACCCCATAAACCTTCATTATATGACTGACAGACAAGAACGGTTTGACCTAAAAATATCAAAATTGAAAATACTGTGGAAACAAAGACACGTACATCTTGGATGCCCTTGAGGTAAGCTAAAACATATATATATATATATATATATATATATATATATATATACATATATATCCCTATAATAATAATGACTATCCCTTTAATAACAAGATGTTATGAGCAAGCTGTCTGAGATAATACAGCTGAATGGCACAGACATTTTTAAAGAGGTCCTAAAATGACCTTTTCACAAGATGTAAAATAAGTCTCTGATGTCTCCAGAGTGTGTATGTGAGGTTTTAGCTCACATATATTTTATTATAGCATGTTAAAATTGCATGTTAAAACTGCTGTTTATGGTATCCACCTGTTTCAATCATCCATCTGATGATTCTGGTCTTACAAAGCAATTTTGAACGTTCCTGTATTTTTATTGTGGCTAAAATGATTTCTCCAAATATCCATATATAATGTCTTATAATCTGAGTAGGCTTTTGTGTTGTTTTGGTATGTATATTTGTGTGGGTTTTATTTAGAGTCAGTTGCTATGGTAACAGTTGAGTTTGCCTTAGGCTGTTCTCATTCATAACGAATTAAAAGCCTTAAGAAGCACATATGCCACGAGAACAGCTAAAACCCAACAGCATGACATAAAACCTTTTAATCATATTACTCACACAGCACAGTATGACTTTTATTAGAGGGCTGCTGAAAGGTGAAATGTGTAATGTTATTTTAATTATAAAAATAGCTGAAGACAGGCTGAATGGTGCGTTCCTGCACAAATCTTGCCGCCACAATGCTAGAGGGTTGCGATTGTTTGCTTGATCGTTACTATATAGTTGAAAATGTTGTTGTTAGGTGGTTATTCTGTGTGGTGGTTGGGTGGTTGCTTACTGGCCCAAGTCGAGTCTTTATGATTTATAATATGATGCCTATTTGGCTCCCTCAGTCTTAGTCTGTGGGAATATTTTGCCTGTTTTATTATATGCCAGGAATGACAGTGACCTCTACTCAACAAGCCAACTGATTTGTGGTAATATTCATGTTCAAAGCATAAACAATGTGCCAAAATGTAATACTTAAGTTTTGGGGTTGGTTCAAATCCCTAACTTTAAGTTATGAGCATTAGTACAGGGATGATTGTCTTAGATAGGGGATAAATCTCTTATCTCACAAAACCTGTAATGACTTTCCAGGTCACACTCCAGGAAAAAAAAAGTCACATTTTACATTGCTGTAATGAGAATTGAGGACTAAAATTAGCTTAATTGTCCCTAAAATAATGTCATTATGCAGAATTATAAGGTCCTAAAAGTAGACCTTATTTATTCTTGCTCCTGGTAAACCACACTGTGTAAACATGCACGGGTCAGATCATTCCATATACTGTGTTGCAAAGTGAATTAGGACGGTTACACCTGACAAGGCGTTTTCCCAGGTGTGTGCAATGGTAATCTGAGTCTTGTTTTCACCTGCATGCACACACCCTGGTAACCCTGACTTTACTGTTTCCATTAGCAAGTTTTCATAGCCGGTTTGTGGATCTGGTTGTATAATGTAGAAAGAGGCATGAACAGATAAGAATGAAGTGAACTCCCTGTTGTGTCTTTTTCTCTGTCACTATCTGTCTGTCTGTTTCTCTCTGTCTCTTACAGTCTGTTTTTATGTTCTCAGCAGAACAGGAAACCATGTCATAGGGTAGAAGATTTAGCACTGGAGAACATGACATCATCCAGAGGGAAAGGAAATGTGTGTGTGTGTGTGTGTGTGTGTGTGTGTGTGTGTGTGTGTGTGTGTGGTGTGTGTGTGTGTGTGTGTGTGGTGTGTGTGTGTGTGTGTGTGTGTGTGTGTGTGTGTGTAAAGAGAGAACATGTTGGATGTGGACAAAAGAACAGGAAAGAAGGGCAATGGAAGGGCTGTGACAGTGTGTGTGTGTTGGTGTTGCTGTGTGTGTGTGTGTGTGTGTGTGTGTGTGTGTGTGTGTGTGTGTGTGTGTGTGTGTGTGTGTGTGTGTGTGTGTGTGTGTGTGTGTGTGTGTGTTTGTAGACACAATGGAGAGATAGCTGTATTGTGTCTTGAGTGAAAGTCATTATGTGAGCTCTGTTGTGTCACAGTGTTTCATGGCCAGTGATGCAGCACACAAGAGGGAGGGTGGATATGGGTAGTTAATGCTTTTCAAAGGAACAAGACTCTCAGAGACAAGTTCTCTGAGTCAATAAAAAAACCTTTAATATGTTTCTCAATCTCTTTCTCTTTCCATACATATAGTCTGCTCACCCAGACACAGATCCAAGATCTTTCCCACACACTGAGCAGCTGGTGTGCATGAAAGTCACTGAGACTAGGCGGTTCAGTCTCTATTGTATTTATCTTTACAGAAAATGCTAATATATATATATATATATATATATATATATATATATATATATATAATTCAGTAAATATATAATGTTACAAAAGATTTATATTTTAAGTAAATGCTGTTTTTTTTACATTTCTATTTTTCAAAGAATCCTGAAATAAAAATAATAAACTCTTCCACTCTTCCTCATTCCACAAAAATCTTCACAAAAATCTTAAGCAACATTGATGATAATAGGGGATTTCTTTTTAATAGGGGATTAATTTTACAAATTACTTTTTAAAATATTTTAAAATAGCAAATTTTAAGTAAAAATATTTCCCAATATTCAATATTCAAATGTATTTTGAGCAAAAAAAAAAAAAAAAAAAAAAAAAAAATACAGTATGGGTGAGCATAAGAAACTTCTTTCAAAAACAACTTCTTGCAAAATCTTGCCGACTTGAATGTTAGTGTTCACACACACACACACACACACACACACACACACACACACACACACACACATATATATATATATATATATATATATATATATATATGAAGAGTTAAGATGCAAAAGCCTCTAAATGCCATTTGAAATTTTCTTCTTTAATGATGATTTTTATCAAACTTGTATTTTAAGTTCAGTAATTTCACTTAAATAACAATTAATAGGTAATTATCATTGCCATTTAAGTGAAATTACTAAACTTAAATATACAAGCTTGATAAAAATCATCATTAAAGAAGAAAATTTCAAATGGCATTTAGAGGCTTTTGCATCTGAACTCTTCATATATATATATATATATATATATTGTATTTATTTGCAAAGCCATTTTATTTTATTTTTTTCATTTTGCCCTGATTTGCAGTCTGGATGAGTTAAAAATGGTTTCTGAAAATCTGCACCAGTGATGGCCAATGTTTTAAAATCTCTTCAGATTAGTTGGATTACAGAGTGGATTAATGACATTGATTCTCGTTAAAATAAGATTTGGATTTCAGGCCAGTACAGTTTGGGTTGTAGTCCTGGAATAATTTACCTTTTTTATTTCAGGACAGGTTTGCAAGACAAGGGTTAAAACAAGGATTTGCAAATTAAATTGAAAATGAAGGTTACATTTTGGCCATGTGTGGATTATATGTTAATATTATTGTACAGATTACATGCAGGTTATGTGTTTTTTTTTGTCTGATAATTTTACTATATTACTTCAAAAGGAACAGTAATAAAATTCCAAATTTCTGGAAGTAAAATTTTGAGCTAGTATTGTAACATAAATGTTACAGTTTACAGTTGCATGGACTGACAGTGTCTAACTCTAGGCCATGTCGTGTATGAGTGAGTGATCAAGGATAAAAGTAGATTTCTGCCTTAGTCTGTTGCCACTCACTTCACATTATCATCACTCCCCCAACAACCAATCACAATCCACCTGAGCCTCAGTGTGGACGGGACCACCTTAGGCCACCAATAAAACCGTCTAGTTTGCGGTTGAATTAGAAGAGCGCATTTATTTGTGCCATTTATTGCAGTCCAAGACATTCTTTCTGAATAACACTCAAAGAATCATATACAAAATGAACACATATACATAACCCCCTTCATAGCTACATGTGATAGAACAGTCTGTTGAAGCTAAAAATATCCCATAGTACATACAGCTGGGTTCGGTCCTCATGCATTACTTATGGGAGTTGACTCTTCCTTCTCTATTTTCCATTTTTCTTTTAATGTGGAAAATGCTCTTGAAAGAATGGTTTGTTTATTGGCCTCTCCTTATGAATCCATGCTGTTTGCTGTCAACGTTTAAGTGTAATGGCCAATCTGATTTCTGTGGGATCATAAATATTTTCATGTTATCTCTTTTGAAATCTTTCCCCTTTAGGGGATGTGTTGAAATGAGTTTCAGCACGTATCATAACCAAAGCTCTCTCCATCCTGCGTAATCCCACTAGATTACACATTCTGCTCTCTTTCACACTCACAAGCAGAATCCAGCATTAAATCGCTCAAATCAACTTGGCTGTCAAAATGTAAGAATGTGATGATCTTTTAAGATTTGGGTGTTTGGGTTTTTTCTAAACAACTGTTCCTCCTTCATCAACTCCAATAATGCGTTCCTATTCCTACTTCATATTGTTTAACATTACCATTAATAAATTGGGTATTGGAGTCAGATCATGTTTTCTAAATTGGACTTTTTTGGGGGGCCAGTGTATGTTGAAAATTACAATAAAAAAAAAAACTGCAATGATAAACCACAATCTATCAGAAAATTGACCCCAAAATGAAACGTGTTGAATTCATGCTGTTCGTGTTTTTTATATGTTAATAACATTATCTCTCTTTTTTAGGTGACATCACACAAAAAGGATACGAGAAGAAGAGGGCCAAAGTTTTAGCACCCTACTTAACACAAATACAAAGTAAGAACTAAAAAAAAAATATCCCTGCTTTTTCACCCTCCCATCTCCTTTTCTGCCATATTATCTCTCTCTCCTTTTTTTACTCGGTTGTCCACTGACTCATATGATAATGAGGTTATGAAACATAGTCTCAGGCTGTTCCTCTTGAGGTTGAAGGGGTTCCATCCAAAGTCCCTCTGCACTGCCTTCTACTGCTCAAATATAGGACTGCAGCATGAAACATTATTTTATTTTCAGTCTCTGTTGTGAGACAGAAATTTTGTTTTATTCTCGAGATAGTTGAGAGAACCACAGTTCTTCGCATTAATATTTCCCATTTTCTGTAGTCATTGACTGGATCTGCCAGTTTTAATGAAGTTCACTCTTATTAACTCTACAGACTTGGCTCCGCCTCCGGCATATGATGCACAGTCCCCTGGTCCAAGCTCCGCCTCCGCACCTGAACCTGAACCTGAACCCGGCCCGTCAAACTCATCCTCTTCACGCCACCGGCGCACACGGCGGCCACACCGAAGCAGCGGAACTCGAGATGAACGCTACAGATCAGGTTAGACCAGCTTGACAACATATACAACTTTTTTTCTGTTACATTTTCTTTATCGGCTTTAACAAAATAGCAAAAATAATGATATACAGCCCAAGGCTTACCTAGAAACCTACTTATAGTGGTCTTTGCACTTTAAACTGGGATGGGGGAATGTTTTCCAAACGACACACTTCACCTATAAATTTTTTTTATATAATTCCATACTTGAGATTTATGGGGTGTGAGGTTTACAGAGTGCCTCCAGATGGTAATATTTGCCTGTTCTCTGACCACATCCTTGTAAGAACTGTTTAGTCATCTGCCCTGGCACAGTCGCATTTGGACAAAATGGTTGCCTAGATGAAATAGGTCACTGTGGATTTCTGGTGTTTTGTGGCAATAGAAAGATAGTAGTTTGCTTATTTGATTGTGTAGGTTGTTTGTTCAGTTGCTCGCCTCAGACATGTATATATTTTACTGTCCTGCTGTTGTCATAGAGCATGTTCATGACCTTGTTGTGTAATTAGTACCAACACTCTGATGGGTGACAGCCTATTGGTTAAGAAGCTTTTCTGATAGAAAAATACAAAAGTTACTGATTTGAATCGATAAAGGCAGACAGTTAATGAGATTCAAATCAGTCTTGTACTCTGGAACAAAGCATTTAGCCTCAGGATGTTCAAGGTTGACTTTATCTGTCACTTTGGATAAAATCATCTCACTAAGTGCAGATGTCCTAGGAACAAAACTGCCTCTTACAAGTTTTTTTTGTCCGTCTCAGATATCCACACCGAGGCAGTTCAGGCAGCGTTGGCCAAGCATAAAGAGGAAAAGATGGCGCTGCCCATGCCAACCAAACGTCGGTCCGCATATGTACAGTCACCAATTGACAACTGCACCCCACCAGGTAATGTATACAAGCACCAAATAAAGAAATGAATATATATACTATCTTATATTTAATAGATAATAATAGTTAATCGAGATCTTACACTTTTCCTGCTTAAAATGGCTTGTATTTCGACAGCGTCAAATCCTTATCCTTTTGTATTTTATATAATAATCATGCAGGAATGATTACACCCATTATTTAATTTTTATTTAAATCAGATTTTTTTTTCTTTTCTTTTGTATTTTTCAAGGGTTTTTTTTTACATTTAATTAGCTACATTTAAATGTAATTATGTATATCTCATAAAGACTTTTATCTAATTTTTATATCTTATAAATTATTATAATTTTAGTTCATTTTTCATTCTTTAAGCAATATCAATTATATATATATATATATATATATATATATATAATTTATGTTCATCAGCAAAAAAAAAGGTTTTTGGTGTTAAAATTGGTCGCAAAAATTATGAAATTTAGCAAATATTGATCTTTTTATGGTATGGTGACAACAGCATTTACTATTGTTTGGATCATTTAAAAAAAATGGTTCAATAGTTCTTGTCTTTTAATTTCTCTTTCTCTCTGTCAGACTCCTCCTCTTCCTCTGACGATGAGGCCGTGTCAAGTGAAAGTGCAGGGCCTCAGCAGTCTCCGGACACCTGGATTAATAGCTCTCTGCATGGCTCCTCCACCTCCTCCTCTGCCTCCTCCACTCTCTCACATGGGGAGTCTCGGCCCACCCAGGCCCCTCAGCCTCAGTCTCAGCAGGTCCCACCTCCACCCGCACCTATCCACCCACCCCACTCCCACTCCCAGCCCTCAGCCCTGGCCGAGGCCCTCGCTCAGACACGCATCGGTGAGTCACCATTACCCCACACACTTTGTGTCATTGTAAATACACTTTAGATTTTACCATTTGGTTTTAAGTCATTTTTGTAGCTTAACCTTGTTTTCATTGCTTCATTATTTCTATATTTTCTTCTGCCCAATGTTTCATTTCTGTTCATTTATATCTTTTGTGACTGTCAGTGAGAAGAATAGGAAGAGGTAAAGTCAAGTGTTAGAAATCTATCACCTTGTCCTGTGTGTTTAAGATTTGTTGTGAGTTACGAATATTATCTACCCCTCCACACGCTTCACCCTTAAAACTCTGCCCCACCTGTGTGTTTAAAGCCTGTGAATGATTGGTCTGTCCATAGGAGCTGATTAAAAAATTAATAAAGGTTCTCAGAAATCTGGTTGAGCTTGTAATGTGTTTCAGGTTCTAATCATCTCAGGACTTAATACACACTTGATCCCAGACTGTACTTATTTAGAGAGTGTGCTTTTCCTGCTCATGACATACCCTGAGTGTGTGTGTGTGTGTGTGTGTGTGTGTGTGTGTGAAATTGTTAAGAGATGTGGACAGTAACTGTAGACAGCATGCAGACTGTGGGGTTAGCCAAGAGGAACTAATGAACTCATGTTTGCATTAGACTTGAAACAGAATATTCTGTAGTAGGCTATGATGTTATATTTTTGGTTAATGATATGTTTCTCTGCCCTCACAGCCTTGGTCTACAGAGGCAGAGAAAGTTATTTCATTTTGACGAAAGATTATGAAAACAATGATGTATGATGATGATGAGACACAGTAAAACCCAAGATAGTTATGTAAGATATAACTTACAGTCAGTTGATCATTAAGGCAAAATAAACCTTGACAGGGTAATCAATTTTTATCACCCTGAAGAGGTTCATTTTGGGATAATGAGCGAGTGACTGTATCTCTAAATTACATGTCTACTTATCAAATAAATAAATCACATAACATTAAATATTATTTTGAGTTTACGTTACTTCATAATGTGAGAAGAAAGAGACTGCAGAGTGATATGAGAGTTTTTGGATGGATGTATTTAATCAAAAATACAGTAAAATAGTAATATTGTGCTTAAATTAGAACTTAAAAATATATTATTCGATTTTAATTTATTATAAAATATAATGTATTCCTATTATAGCAAAGGTGTATTTTCAGCATCATTAGTCCAGTCTTCAGTGTCACATGATTTTTCAGAAATCATTCTAATATGCTGTTAAAAAAAAATCTATATATATATATATTTTTTTTTTTTTTGCTGAATAAAACTATGTATTTAAATACAGGTATATACAGTATACATGTATGTATGTATCCACAACTTTTAACAGAAGTGTAAGTAATATTTGATCATAGAATGATTAATAAATCAGAAGTATTTTAGAAATCCATATAATAAGAGCAAAGTAAATACTAATCAGTAAATAGTTTGATTTCATGTTACAGTCAAATATCTTTGGCCTTATTACTATTTTAGACAATTGAAGGAAGCATATACTGAAAGCAGTCCTGAATAAACATAGTTTTACACAGACTCTTAAAAGAATAGTTCACTATTGAATTGAAAAATCAGGAAAGAAAGAAAGGTGAGCTTTTCCTTTATGAGCAAGGGAAAATATCTTTAAAACTTTGAGGGTTGATTATCAGTGAGTAATAAGTGTTACTTGACCAGATCCAGGAGGAGGAGTCGGGCCTCCTGATGTGCCGTCCCAAGCTCAGGCCAGAGGCTCTCGTGTGGATCTGCCTCCCAACGCCGCGGTGCGAGGCATGAGTCGAGGACAGAGCCGGTCCAGCATGATGGAGACAGCAGACGGTACTGAGTGTGTGCGCGTGTGTGTGTGTGTGTGTGTAGAGGGGAAAGAAAGAGTAAAAGTAAGAGAGATAAAAAGAGAAACATGTATTTGTTGTGTGCTGCATTCGACATACATACTCTGAAAATGTATGTAAATCTTTAAGCGCCTTTTCATAACTTTCTTCTCATGTCTCTCCGAACTTTGTGTTAACATCTCAGTAGAGACATTTCAGTAAGTCTTTATGAATGCTGTTTTTGATTGCTTCGTTAATCGCATCCCATTTCTTTTTTCTTTTCCACCTTTTATCCACTTGTGTCATGTTGCTTTTCTCTGTCAGTGAGAAGAATAGGCCGAGGTAATGATTGGTATAGACATGTCCCGTAGGTCGACGACTTTAAAGCTGTGTGTTTGTGTTTGTATGTGTTACACACAGATAGTGTGAACCAGAGTGAAACCTTGTACTTTTTTTAGGAAATAAATAGATAATAGTAGATCACTCATCCCCCCATTTCTGCTTACATGCGTGATTTACTCAGTCCTGATCCTTCATAACACATTAGGGCTGCTTTACAGGTGAACCAGTGATATTTAAAGGAATAGTGTAAATCATTTACTCAACCTCATGTCGATCCAGTTGGTCTCTCTATTCCATGCAGTACAATAAATAAGCACTGAAGATTCAGAAAGATGTAAAAGCACCACGTATGTATGATAAAAAGTCAATATGACTTCCTCTAAATGGCACTAAATCCACTAAATGGCACTAAATTCCAAAGTCTTTCATTTTTTTTATATTGAATAAATACAAATATATCAATATAAAGAAGTAATAATACACTACCATTGAAAAGTCTGGGGTCATTAAGATTTATCTGATTAAGTAAAATCAGCAAACAGCAATATTGTAAGATATTTTTTTGCAATTTAAATAGTAATTATCTTATGTAATTATCCTAATATGCTGATTTGGTTCTCAAGAAACATTTCTTATTATTAAATGTTAAAAATAGTTTCTAGATTTATTATTTTATGTTATCTGTTGCATCCTTGCTGATGAAATCTATTGATTTCTTTAAACAAAATCTCAGTGACACCAAACATTTGAATAGTAGTGTATATATAATTTCAATAATAAGTTTCTAATTTTACATAATAATAAGTTTAATTTGATCTATAAGCCATTGTATATTAGGATATCTTTGGACCAGGACTGATAAATACCACTGTAGGAGAGTATAAAACATGGATATACATGTACACATATAGTTGTGATTTACGAATTCCCAGTTCAGTTGAAAGTGTGCAGGAGTGTGTCTTTGTTCGTCTGTCTCATCCCACCCTACCTGACCCCAATCCTGGTGTAGGTGTTCCGGTGTCCAGTCGTGTGTCCACAAAGATCCAGCAGCTGCTAAACACGCTAAAACGACCAAAACGCCCGCCACTCAGTGAGTTCTTCATGGATGACCAAGAGGAGATCGTGGAAGGTACTCCAGGATAAATTCAGTCCTCGGCATTTCTCAGACACACTCTGAAAGAATGGTGGATTAATGTAGATCAACGTGTTTCTTCCTCCTCAGTTCCTCAGGCAGATCCTAACACCCCTAGGCCTGAAGGCCGGCAGATAATCCCAGTGAAGGGGGAACCGTTGGGTGTGGTCAGTAACTGGCCTCCTGCTCTTCAGGCAGCATTAACTCGATGGGGTGCCACTCAGGGCAAAAGCCCAGCCCTCACAGCTCTGGATATCACAGGAAAACCACTCTATACACTTACGTATGGTAAGACTGAGCTAGGTCACCTGCAAAGCACTTATCTTGATTGAAAGCACAAGCTGGGATTGGCAAGAAAAGTCTATGGGCTGATTGGTGTGTGATTGACAGGGAAACTGTGGAGTCGAAGTGTAAAGCTGGCCTACACTCTCCTCAACAAGCTGGGGGCCAAAAATGAGCAGATCCTCAAACCAGGAGACCGGGTACAAAAACCAACAACTCTTTGTCATTTAAGATCATTTCCTGATAATATAACCCAGTTTATGACAAGTTTGTGCACATAAACCAGTTTTATTGCAGTATTATTAGTATGCTTTTATAATATTAATAAAACACTATAGCTTTTATTTTTGTATTTTGAGTTTTCATTTTATTTTTAGCCTAGGTTTTAACACTTTTATGTGCTTGAGTTGTGTGTTTTTTTCTATTTAGCTTTATTTTTTACAGTTTCATTTTAGTAATTTTAGTTATTCAACTTTGTTTGTTTCAGTTAGTTGCTAAAGCACATGGTGGTGGGGAAATAAACGAGATGGGAGGACACGTAATAAGATAATGCTTTTGCGTTCCTCTGAGAAACTTTGCGTTCGCTTTTTGCGAGGGAACTTTTTCAAAGTTTTTCTGGGGAACGCAAAACATTTGCGAGACAGTGCCAAAGCATTGACAATTGTTTTTCCTCCATCTAATTTTTTCCCCCTAACCATGTCCCTTTAGGGGCTCTGTATTAAAGCAACATTTCTAGTTAATTTCTATTCATTTCTAGTTGATTTCTATTAAATACGTTGTTTTATTCCGCCCTTGTTTCAATTAAGAAAATTATTGACAACACAATAACAACACTGATGTCAACACTCACATTGCTATAAGTAATATTCTGTATTGTATATTGTTAGAAGCAACTTTTATTTGAGAAAAATGCTGCTGTTTCTCTTTAATTATTTGCAAGTAATGTTTTCTTATTGACCCAGGTGGCGCTGGTGTATCCTAACAGTGACCCTGGTATGTTCTGGGTCGCATTTTATGGCTGTTTGTTGGCAGAAGTCATTCCTGTGCCCATAGAGGTTCCACTATCCCGAAAGGTAGCCACTACAGCTAAATAGAGTCGTGCTAACAATTCATATTGCTATTGTTGTCAAAATGTTTTCCGTGTGTTTACAGGATGCGGGTAGCAGCCAAGTAGGTTTTTTGTTGGGTAGCTGTGGGGTGGGTCTGGCTTTGACAAGTGAGATCTGTTTGAAGGGTTTACCCAAGACCCCCACTGGAGAAATATTACAGTTTAAAGGTCAGAGACTTTACAGATGCAAATGTCATCCATTTCTTTTCAGAAGCCAGTCAGTAATGAGACTTTTATGATAGATCTAATACTAGTTGGGTTTCTGACAGGCTGGCCCAGGTTAAAGTGGGTGGTGACAGACTCCAAATACCTCACGAAGCCTTCGAAAGACTGGCAGCCTCATATCCCAACAGCCAACACAGACACGGCATACATCGAGGTGAGATCATGTGCTTCATGTGATTCTGTGTGTATGTTTGTTGAATACATGTAAATCCCCTCCTCTCTTTCTCTCATGCAGTATAAGGCCAGTAAGGAGGGCACAGTGATGGGTGTTGCGGTTTCAAAAGTTGCCATGCTAACACATTGCCAGTCACTCACTCAGGCCTGTAACTACTGTGAGGGTGAGTGATGCTGTTGCTGTGGAAACCATCCTTTTGTTGAAGTTACGCTAATCCAAAGAACTAGCTATGCAGGTTTTCACACTGCTTGTTTGGAGATGTAACGGAATGTGTCTGCACGCAGGTGAGACACTGGTGAATGTTTTGGACTTTAAGAAGGACATGGGTTTGTGGCATGGAGTTCTCACGGTGAGTCACGAAATGTGTACGTGTCATCAATGCTATTACTACAGATTTATTAAAGGGATACTCCACTTTTTTTTGGAAATAGGCTCATTTTACAACTCCCCCAGAGTCAAACAGTTGAGTTTTACCGTTTTCGAATCCATTCAGCCGATTTTCTGATATTTAGAAGAATATCAGTAACCAGACAGTTTCTGGTCTCATTGACTTCAAATTTTATAATGATTAGCGATGCACCGATATGAACATTTTGGCCAATAACCGATAATTCTTTATTTTTGTAAGCCAATAACCAATATATTGGATGAAAAGTCTTTATATAATTTTTGAGAGGCTGATTACAAAAACAAGTTTTACCATTAAAGTCTACACAATTATATTGATGTTCTCATTATAATGTTATGTAGCCTATATGACAGACTTGCGATTTCAAGCAATTCAAAACCATCATGGTGAGCAGTGTGCATCTGAAGTGTCTCAGCTAAAATATAATATATTAATATATCGGACACATTTTTTTATTAAGCCAGAAACAACTGAACATTTATCAGCCGATATCGATATGGTGGCTGATATATCGTGCATCCTTAAAGGAGTAGTTCACTTTTAAAAAAAACTTTTGCTGATAATTTACTCTCCTGTTTGAACTCGTTCATCAACATGAACGAATCTTTTTCTGAGCCAATTCGTTCATTTCATTCTTTGAATGAAACAAATGATTAGAAAAAAGATTTGTTCATTTTGATTCGAACAGGAGAGTCACGAACTTGGATCACAGAACAAAGCAAAGCGAGCATTTGAGCTTATAAAACTTAAACTTTGTTATTTATTTATTAAATTAAAACCGTTTCGCTTGATAAGACCCTTATTCATCGTCTGAAATTGTTTAAAGCCCTTTGAACAGTTTGCAGTTTGCACTGAAACGGTCTTTTGGACCTTGAACCGTTTGGTTCCCAGTAAGGTGCATTATATGGAGAAAAATGCTGGAATGTTTTCATCAAAAACCTTAATTTCTTTTCTTTTCGGGTAAAAATGTACCAGGGCAGTTTTCACCCAATAACATCTGTGTGTGTTTCAGAGTGTGATGAACCGAATCCACACCATCAGTGTTCCATATGCAGTAATGAAGGCCTGTCCACTGTCCTGGGTTCAGAGAGTTCACATACACAAAGGTACAAGACCAAATATATGTCTGTCATCTACACGTATTTGTTTGGATGTGATAAACGTCTGTGTTTCTACAGCACGTATTGCCTTGGTGAAGTGTCGTGACCTGCATTGGGCGATGATGGCTCACCGAGATCAGAGAGACACCAGTCTGGCCTCCTTGCGCATGCTAATTGTTGCTGATGGAGCCAATCCTTGTGAGTTACGCTAACAGGCCTCCTGCAGAGACTTCACGGGAGATGATGTTCATTTAATATTTATATTTAACAATTTCACTTTTTTTTGTCTCCTTCTGGCTCAGGGTCAGTTTCATCTTGTGATGCATTTTTGAACGTATTCCAGGCTTATGGTTTGAAACCAGAGGTCATCTGCCCGTGTGCTACATCACCCGAGGCCATGACGGTTGCCATTCGCAGGTATATCACTTTTAGACAATCCCATTTTCAATGACATATATTAGTATTTGTACCCTGATTGTGTGAACTTTCTCCAGGCCTGGTGTCCCCGGTGCACCTCTTCCAGCGAGAGCCATCCTGTCCATGACTGGGCTGAGTCATGGGGTCATCAGGGTCAACACTGAAGACAAGAACTCTGCTCTCACCGTCCAGGATGTGGGACATGTCATGCCTGGAGGTGTGTGTGTTGAATTTTTGGTGTTTTTGTGTGTATGCTATCAAAGTTTAAAATATGTTATTGTTATATGTGCATGCCTGAAGTCAGTATGTGTGTTTATGTGTGCTTTAGCATTGATGTGCATTGTGAAACCGGATGGGCCACCCATGCTGTGTAAGACCGATGAGATCGGGGAGATCGTTGTGAACTCTCGTGCTGGTGGAACCATGTATTACGGCCTGTCTGGAGTCACTAAAAACACCTTTGAGGTATGGCGATCAACTTAACACTCTCATACACAGATGATGATAAAACTTTGTACTGAATTGCACACAATAAACATATTTTTATGGTATCTCACAGGTGATCCCAGTCAATGCTAGTGGTGCTCCTATTGGTGAAATCCCATTTGTGCGGTCGGGATTGCTGGGTTTTGTTGGACCGGTAAGAGTGTGAAAGAGGAAAACAAGAGAGGGACAGTGTAATTTTGTGTTAAAATCAGGGCTGTCACGGTGAACATGCGATTAACCTGAGTTCGCCTTTGCGTTTGCATTCAGACCATTTCAAGTCGCTGAACTCTGCAAACTTTTTAAGTCCAACAATCCAGTAAGCAAATTTATTCAAACAATAATTCAAACAATCAGTCCAAAACAGCACTAATGTAAAGAAAACCTTGCTTATTACAGCAGAAATGGCAGAGAGAATAGAGACTCACGTTGCGTTTTCAGTGAATTATTCATTCCAGTGTGTGTTTTGCTTTAAAACACGAGCTCTGTCATATTCTGTCATTGTTTCTGAAGAGCGCGATCCCAAGCGCATCGTGCTGTGTGAAACACAGACTGAACGGGACAACAAAACATCCCACTGCTGTTTGGCCAGATGATACGCAAACTATGTTTCTATGCTGGATAAAGCAAACCAGCTAGTAATGTTTTGATGGATGAGGATTGCAATCAAGGTAAAGATGATTGCGGTGACATACAGGAGTCATAGTTTAAGCACGCGCGAGGCTGTTATATTGCTCCAAACATGTGATCCTGTTCGGTATTGCAACTTGACTTGTCCAAAAAGTAAACAATCTTTTTGCTGTTGCATTGTCCACAAACTATACATACTGAATTCTGAAAAAAAAGTTCCGTAATTCTGTTTTTTTCATGTTCAAAAATTAAAGTGTTAAAGGGATTTGATATGGTTTAGCTTACCTCAAGGGCATCCAAGATGTAGGTGTCTTTGTTTCCACAGTATTTTTAATTTTGATATTTTTAGGTCAAACATTCTTGTCTGTCAGTCATATAATGGAGGTTTATGGGGTCCACCTCAAAGAGCATGCACAGAGAAGTCCACATTAAACATGATTTATTGAATCGTGAATGTAAGTACACATTGATGGCCTAAGACACGAAACGAGCAGTTTGTGTGATAAAACGAACAGTATTTATATCGTTTTTACCTCTTTTAACCACAGCCACGCGCAAGCGCCGGAAGTGATCTCTTGCGTGGTTGCGAAAAAAAATCAACGTTGTCTGTTGATATATTGAAATCGTCTTCCAATGCAATTTCCTGTATATCTAAATATGTTTAGATCTTCACAATGAAGGATAATACCTCTGAAATCTCTGTGTAAACAATGAGTGAGATACACACGCGAGAGCTCACTTGGATGTGACTGTGATTACAAGAGATAAAAACAATATAAATACTGTTCGTTTTCTCACACAAACCGCTCGTTTCGTGTCTTAGGCCATTAATGTGTACTTACATGTACGAGTCATTAAATCATGTTTAATTTTGACTTCTCTGTGGATCCTCTTTGAGGTGGACCCCATATACCTCCATTATATGACTGACAGACAAGAACGGTTTGACCTAAAAATATCAAAATTGAAAATACTGTGGAAACAAAGACACCTACAACTTGGATGCCCTTCAGGTAAGCTAAATACTATAGTTCAAAGTGAACTATCCCTTTAAACAAGATGAATATTTTTAATTTCACCATTAAAAGGGTGTGATTATTTGTGATTATAAATTGTAATCTATTGACAGAATCTCTCCTCCTCCCGCAGGGTAGTCTGATATTTGTTGTGGGTAAGAATGAGGGCTTGCTAATGGTTAGTGGTCGTCGTCACAATGCTGACGATCTAGTAGCGACAGCACTAGCGGTGGAACCAGTCAAAACTGTGTACAGAGGCAGGTGAGGGTTCCCCTTTGAATACACAGAGCTGCATTTAGTCTTAACCATTGTTTTGAATGAGAATATATCAATCTGATGTGTGGGTGTGTGTTTTGTAGAATTGCTGTGTTCTCAGTGACTGTGTTCTTTGATGAGAGGATAGTAATCGTAGCTGAGCAAAGGCCTGATGCCAGTGAAGAAGACAGCTTCCAGTGGATGAGTCGAGTTCTGCAGGTACAGACATATTTAATGCAGTAATTATAAAATTGACTGTTTTATACTTTAAAAATGCACCTGTTACTGTACTGCCAATATGTGCAATTGACTTTACCATGTTGTGGAACATTCATTGTTGAGTGTACATTCATTGTATTTCATTGTTTAGTTTAACGCACAAAAGTTGAATAACCCTTTGTGTATGCTTTATTTATTTGTCGGTGGTTTTGTGTATTGTTTACCGACTACAGGCAATTGACAGTATTCATCAGGTTGGATTATATTGTCTTGCACTGGTTCCTGCCAACACCCTGCCCAAAACTCCCCTGGGGGGCATTCACATCTCAGACACCAAGCAACTCTTCCTGGAGGGGGCGCTGCACCCCTGCAACATCCTCATGTGCCCCCACACCTGCGTTACCAACATGCCCAAACCACGTCAAAAACAACCAGGTGTGTATGCAGGGAGAGAGAACCTTCAAATCTGGAGGTAAAATAAATCTGATGGGTGTAAAATTTATGTCTTTCATAGTCGGTGTCGGCCCTGCATCCATCATGGTGGGTAATTTGGTTGCTGGGAAAAGAATTGCGCAGGCTGCAGGCAGAGATCTGGGACTCATAGAAGACCAAGACTTGGTCAGGAAGGTAAACTCAGATTTTCCATTGTATCGTGAGACTGTATAGCAGGAAATAAATAATGCAGACAGATTATTTGAAGCTGTTTATTTGAAATGCACTTTGTGGTATTTTAATGCTTTCGTGTGGATGCAGCTGTGTATGTGGCCTACAATGATGGTAAGCACTGTGATCATTATGGCACAATCACATGCCACAGGCATGATATTCATTTAATGTGTTATTAATGTTATATGTTTGAAGTTATTGTTGATTAATTGTGATGTCTTGCCTTTTTTAGCATCAGTTCCTTACAGAGGCTTTACAGTGGAGAGCACAAACAGATCCTGACCATACACTTTATGTACTTTTAAATGCCAAGGTAAAAAAACACTAATACATTCCAAACAAATAGTGGAAGGACTATTTGTAAAAGTCCCCAGTAAACCCCCTTACTGAGAATTTCTGATTTGCTGACCGATAATGTGTTTTCTCTCTCTCTCTCTCTCTCTCTCTCTCTCTCTCTCTCTCTCTCTCTCTCTCTCTCTCTCTCGCTATCTAGGGAGTGGCAGTCTGTACAGCTACATGTGTTCAGCTTCATAAAAGAGCAGAGAAGATTGCGGCTGCTCTCATTGAGAGAAGTGGTATTAACATTGGAGAGAATGTGGTGCTTTTGTATCCACCAGGTAAATCACACACACTATATCCTTTGTTAAGACTGTTATTTAAGAACTGGACAGTAAACTGTATAGGAGTGAACTGCAAAGCCATTGGTATTTAACACCAGGGTGAGTAAATGAGGATTTAACTTTCATGGATGTGCTATTCCTTTAAAGGAAAAGCAGCAAAAAAACAGTGTTGTTATTGTTTCGGTAATTAAAATAAAGCTGAAATACATTGATTGATTTTTTAAATAAATTGGAAAAATTAAAAAAAAGAAAAAACTTAAATGAAATTTAAAAATGCAAAATAACTGAGATGAATAAGTTTTAGCTGAAGTACTAGAAGTAAACCTGAAACAAGCTATTTAAGCTAAATGGAAATATAAAAACAAAAAAAGTAAAAAAAATATAAAAAGAAAACTAAAAATATATCAATAGAAGCAAAATATGAATATATATATATATATATATATATATATATATATATATATATATTAAAATAACACTATATTAAAATATATTAATATAATATATTAATATATAATATATTAATATTTATATTAATATATAATATATTAATGTTTAATATATTAAAATAACACTATATATATATATATATATATATATATATATATATTAAAAAAAACTTATTTATTACTGTTTTGGCATAAATAAAGAAATTTATTTACATAAAGAAATTTGCAGTGCATATGAATTGTCTGTATGTGCAGGTATAGATCTGATCGCAGCATTTTATGGCTGTTTGTACGCTGGTTGTATTCCTGTCACCGTGAGGCCTCCACACCCACAGAACCTCTCGGCCACTCTGCCCACTGTCCGCATGATTATCGATGTAAGTCTCTGTGCTGCATCTGTTAGACACGTTCATTGGTTTTCCTTTAACTGCTTGGTAGCGTTGTTAACTTTTGTTGCATCTCTCTTCTGGTTTCCTCAGGTCAGCAAGGCTGCTTGCATTCTCACTACTCAGGTTTTAACAAAGATTCTCAGATCTAAAGAAGCAGCAGCTACAGTCAACATAAAAACATGGCCCATCATAATAGACACAGGTAACATACAACAGTCAATTTTCCATATACCGGTAGCTACTGTGCAGATTGCAGAACATACTGTACTTTGTTCATATAATAATAGGTTAAAGCAATCTTTAGCATATATATTGTGTCAGGGTTTTCTCTTTCATTGAAATAACTTTTAGTTTCGTGTAACAGTTTGTCCAACAACAGACTTACCACCACAGTAGTCACTTTAAGCAAGTCTCAATGTTACATAAAATAACATAACATGTAAACTTTTTATCCAGTCTCATGCAAAATTGCAAGGAAAATATCTGGCTTGATTTGTCATGACAGAAATGTGACAACAAACTCACAAAAATCTTATCGTTAGAAACTATTAACAACTATCTTGAACAAATCAAATATGTTTATTAGAAATATTAACAAATCAGCATTATAACTTTGCATGTTCCTTCTTTTCAGTTTGGCAAAGTAATTTAATACCAATTTACTTTTATCTGACTCCATTTTATTGTGACCTCGAATTTATGTTGGAATGGCCATTGGCTATTATTGGTCACTTATATGATACTTTATCGAGACATTTGATTAGTCAATTTAACTCTTTACTTTATATTTTACCCATTCATTAGGAATCTATATCGCACAGAGAGACTTCAATTGCGCCGGGCGTTTAAAGCGGGTCAGATGATCACGAACTCATCAGTCTAGACTATTAGGTAATTGACTATAATTAGAAGGCCGTCTTCACGCTTGCTCTATCTAAAAGTACTTCGTTTAGTCCCCATAGATCAAATAAAACATTATGATTTTTAAATAATCTTTCTATGACTATGTGAACTGTGTGAAGATTAAATGTAGTTACAGTCAGATTTTCCATGTGGGTTGTCAAACTTGAGCTCTGGCCGCATCGTGAGGAAAATGCAAAATGCAAATATTAGTTACTGTACTAAGGAAACATACACATACAACACATGTCTAAAGGACAACAACGGGCAGAGGTGAACAAACGGAAATGGTCTTTTGTGACATTTGAATTCTCCACTGTAATGCGATCTTATGCATAATACAGTGCTGTGATTAGATTAAAAGAGTTGATTCTCATGTTTAATGCAGAGAAAAGCTCAGAAACTGACGACTCTCCAGGCACGGCACCCAATACCAGTAACACAAATACCTCATATTGGTTTCAATATTGCTTTTTAAACCGAAAATATAAAATCTCAAAACATATTTTATGGTTTCATGACCCTTTAAATTAAGTTTACAGTGTAGTGCATGAGACTTCAGAAGCAGCAGGAAAAGGAATAAAAACTATTTTTTTAATTATTCAAACTTCACATGGTTGGCAAGCTTAGAAATATATTCGTATGTGGAAGTTTAACATTCATTTCTCTTATTTTTGTCCCAGATGACTTGCCTCGCAAACGACCTCCCACAGTCTACAAACCGCCCAATGCTGAGATGATCGCCTATCTGGACTTCAGTGTCTCAACCACAGGCATGCTGACAGGAGTGAAGGTGAGACATCTCAATGGGCGTGTGTCATCACTGTTTCAGGCAGTTTTGTATTCTGGGGTCATTGAATAACTGATCAGAGGATTTTGTTAATATATAGTGCTGTCGTCCAACTATGCTATACCGCTATATTAAGTATTTTTTTAAATCACATGTTGGTTTAAATCAGACTTCTTGATTTTCAGAGTTGTCTTAGATGTTTTGGAATCCCATTGTAGCAAATTCCTTCCTTTTGACATAAAACAATGTTAGTTGATCTGTACATTTGAAACTCCTTTCTGATTGGCTGTCTATCAGATCTCTCACGCGGCGGTGAGCGCTCTGTGCCGCTCAATAAAGCTGCAGTGTGAGCTGTACTCCTCTCGCCAGATCGCCATCTGCCTCGACCCCTACTGTGGACTTGGTTTTGTGCTTTGGTGCCTTGCGAGGTAACGGATGGATACACACAAGCAGTCACATACAAATGTCTCATACTAACATAGAATGACTTTATAGTCATTATAACCCTTTATAGTCGATATGAATGTGTTTTGAAGGTATTATAAACCTAACGTGGTTGTGTTCTGCAGTGTATACTCAGGTCATCAGTCTATCTTGATACCTCCCATGGAGCTGGAGAGCTCACTGTCCCTGTGGCTGGGCACGCTCAGTCAGTACCGTATCAGAGACACCTTCTGCTCCTATTCTGTCATGGAGCTTTGCACCAAGGGCCTGGGCGGACAGACGGAGATGCTGAAGGTATTTATTAGCACACTTAAAGTCTGCGTAAAACAAAAGGTGTGATAGTATACACGTACAAGAAAAAATGTTGGATGGGACTTCATTTTGTCCATTGAAAAATGTCTGAATTGTTGTGGTTTGCTATTGCTGCGATCTCATGCGGGTGACAGGTTGCCTCGCCCTCGGGTCAAGAGATGTCGCTGCAAGAGGGGAAGAGGGAGGGGGAGTTATTTTGATTAAAGATTATGCACATGAATTTAAAAGAAAATAATTCATAATAAACATTCCAATATTCCATTAAAAAAAAAGAATTATCAATTTTAATTTCATGGATAGTTCACCCTAAAATAACAATTGTCTTCATTTACTCATCCTCATATCATTCCAAACCTGTATGACTTACTTTCTTCTTCAAAGCACAAAAGACAATATTGTGATGATTTTTTTTTTGTCCATTCAATGAAAGTCACTGGACCCCACTGTTTCATTGTAAAGACTTAAAAAAAAAAGTCATACATGTTTAAAAGGACATAACAAAATTTTTGATTTTGGTAAACTAACTCATTAAGCTTTTTCGCATCAAAGTGTGGGAAACATTAGAGTCTGCTGTTAATTCACATCTGCTAATTTTCCTCACTATCACAAATACAACATAGCTTGTCTTTTTTTTTTTAAATCTTCAAATGTTCTTCTGATGTTCTTCGTGTCCATCTGACTTCAGGCACGTGGTGTGAACCTGTCGTGTGTGAGGAGCTGTGTGGTGATTGCTGAGGAGCGTCCGCGCTTGGCTCTCACACACTCCTTCTCCAAACTGTTCAAAGACCTTGGACTCTCCATGCGGGCTGTCAGCACTGCTTTTGGGTCGAGAGTTAACCTGGCCATCTGCCTACAGGTAGATTACCTGAAGTTCGAACTTCACAAGTTGATTTTTCTCTGCAATACGTGTGCAGCTGATCTGTATGTGTGTGTGGGTTTGTGTTTTTCACAGGGTACAACTGGACCAGACCCCTCAACTGTGTATGTGGACATGAAGTCCCTCCGACATGACCGGTAAGAGATATACATATTTACGCATGAAACACATTAGGTTTAAATACTAAAAGGTGAAGTGTGTGTTGTTGTTTTTTTGTGTGAAAGTGTCAGTTTCTAGCTCAGCCAATTGTAATTGCATTTAGTGGCATTAGTAGAGCAGAAATCACTTGTTTTTTTTACTGTTTTAAATACTGTAGAGTTATATCTATTAAGATGCTGGGTTTTGTCAAATATGAAAAAAGCTCCAGATCTGCCGGTTCCTCTCGACTCTGTGATTATATTGTGTCATAAACACTCTTTCTTCTTGTATAACACTGATGATGGTGTTTCTGTGTTGTAGGGTGAGGTTAGTAGAGCGAGGAGCGCCACAGTCTATTCCTCTCATGGAGTCTGGAACAGTAAGGGCATCATTCCACTGTTGGATCTAGAATGAATGTAAAATAAAAATATGGAGTTTGAACATTGCTAATGCTTTCATTCTTCTTCTCTCTCTCTTTTAGATTCTTCCCGGTGTGAGGGTGATCATAGTAAATCCAGAAACTAGAGGACCGCTAGGGGACTCTCATCTAGGAGAGGTGCGTTTACATATAAGATATGTAAATAATAATTGGTTGTTTCTTCAGCTTTGTGCATTTTTAGAAAATAAACTACCTTAAAACACATTTTCAAACACTTAAAAAGTTATTGTATTTGTATACTAACAATCACAGGAGAGTTTTTCTTTTCTTTTTTTCAAATCATGTGATGTGTTTAAGAGATTTTTACTGGAGAAAGTTACACTTAAATAATTTTTGACAAATTTTAAAGCTAGCATTATCTATCCCAAATACACAATTAAATTATGTTTTTTTTTTACACTTTTTGCATAACTTTACAAAATTATAGCTTGATTGGAAATGACACAAGATAGGTGGTACCTCAAGTATCAAGTATGCCATTCAGACCGTTGTTTCCATGATGATAAACAAGTGATAGAAATAGATAAAGGGGCAAAATAGATTCCTAAGCTTCACCATTAATATACTTCACTCTTTCCCAGATTTGGGTGAACAGTCCCCACAATGCAACAGGATACTACACCATATACGGAGAGGAAAACCTGCAGGCTGACCACTTCAACACTAAACTGAGCTTTGGAGATCCTCAAACACTCTGGGCCAAAACTGGATACCTGGGATTTGTCAAGAGAACAGAACTCACAGACTCCAGTGGAGGTGAGAGAGAGAGAAACACAATTGGATGAATTAAGAATTAAGGATGAAGTGCTCATGAAAGACTGGTGGGGTCAATGTACTGTGAGATGTAATTTATAATTACATGTACTATTAGAGGTGTAACAATATCGTGCCACAATATATCGCAATACAGTACTGCAACAATACGTATCGTGGATTGTGACAATATTCATAGTCCCCCCAAAATAGAAATTACTGTATAAGAAAAAAATTAAGTTTTCAGAGTTTTAGTGTAAGTACTACATTAAACTACTATACGTAATATTGATTATAATGTATAATAATGCAATATTTGTGGGTCCTGATAATGTCAAATGTCTGATGTTAGCAGTAAAATGTGCCCAACATTATTTTAAATATATCTAGTCAGTGAAAGAGTGCAAGCATGTTTATCTAAAATAATTCTATATCTTCAGCTTCAGAATCATGAATATTGTTATTCTGGTGTCACCATTGTTACAAGCACCAAGTCCAAGCCTATTCATTTAAACCCACAATGTAATATCAAATTTAGCATTTTATTCAACAGTAGGCCTTCATTTTAAACTTTTACAATATGTCTTGGAGTATCATAATATTATCATATCGTGAGTTCAGTATCATGATATGTATCGAATCGTGACATGAAGGTATCGTTACACCCCTATGTACTATTTATTCTGTATGTATATATGAGTATTTTTTATTATTAAATAAGACATTGCAACTAGTGGTCTCAGACTTCTCACAATAAGAGATACGTAAATTATGAGACTATGCAGAGCATTATGCCACACTGAATTAATGTTAATGTAAAAATGTCCATGTTTGTAACATTTTGTGTTTAGATCGCCATGACGCCCTGTTTGTGGTGGGCTCTCTGGATGAGACTTTAGAACTGAGAGGTTTGCGATATCATCCAATTGACATCGAGACCAGCGTATCACGTGCCCATCGCAGCATCGGTGAAAGGTAACATCTCAGAGATGCGCTCTTTGCTTAATTTTTTTCTTGCAATCATACTACCCTTTAACTCTTACATGCTCCTTTTTCCCTCTGCAGTGCTGTGTTCACCTGGACAAATCTGCTGGTGGTGGTGGCTGAACTCTGTGGATCAGAGCAGGACGCTTTAGACCTGGTCCCGCTGGTAACCAATGTAGTATTAGAGGAGCACCATCTGATTGTGGGTGTGGTGGTTATTGTTGACCCAGGGGTCATTCCTATAAACTCCAGAGGAGAAAAGCAGCGAATGCACTTGAGAGACTCCTTCCTGGCAGATCAGTTGGACCCCATATACGTAGCGTACAACATGTGAGCTGGGATATGGGAGAGCCAAAGGCCTGCCAGAGCGGTGCTACGGAGCCTGGCCTCAGAACAGAAAGACTTGGCCCTGTTTTTTTCAGTGTCATTTTCCAAAATACAAATGTGTGAGATGAAGTTTTGGAGAAGGGATGCTATAATAGAAGTTCCCTTTTAGTTCAATTCCTTCTCCCCCAGAACCCCACTCTCTCTCACACAATGCCACATAACGTCTGTCCAATTTTTGGTCATGATTTAAATGTACTTGAATTACATAGCTCTTTTTTCTACTCAAACACTCTCCTATTCTAGGACTGGCTGGCGTGTACTTTTTATTTATTTATTAAAATGAGCTTAAAGCCTCAGTTTGTAAGTTTTCACCTGGGTTGTTCAATTTCAGAGTTCGATTTCCAAAGTTTTGGAATCAGTTGAATCGATTCCAGGAGTCAATTACTCAGACTACATGTTAAGTAAAAAAGGGAGACAAAGTGAAATCTTAAAATAAACAGTGCAATATAAACTATAATGATTCATTAAAAGGAATGATAGGAATACAACAAAAGATCAGTCAAGTAATCAAGTAGGTTTAGCAATATAAATTCTGTATTTTGAATTAGTGTTGTTAAGACTCTTTTTGGGTTGTTTAGTAGTGTGGTAATCGAGGTAATGAACACAGACTTAACAGACTAGGACATCACAACCCTGAATCCCAAAAGTTAAAATTGTGTATATTTATTTATATACAGGACTGCAACCTAGTGTATCTATGGTGCTGTGTGTTACAGGGCTCTAAAATGTAATATATATTGGACAGCATTGGGTAATAGGAGTCTTTTGTCATTCATTAGATGCTTGTGTCCAAAATCAGCTTACATTAGACTTAATACAGAGACAGTCCCTCAAGAGCAACCTGGGGTTAAGTGCCTTTCTTAATAAGGGCAGTATTGATGATAGGACATTTCTGTAACGCTACAGTTCATAGAGTGCCCTTACCCAGGTTAAAACCCACTCCTTCATCCACCATTATTTTTGTTAACACACATGTATCCCTGAGACTGCAGTTGTTAGCTTATTTAGCTCTGACAGCAAACCATTTAGTATACTAAATCTTACCACTGGGGCTTTAACAGTTTATTTCAGATATGCAGCTATTCAGGTTTTAATTCTACAATATTTACAAAGTACAATATACAGTTTTACTTCTACTCGAAAAAAAAAAAAACAGCCTGCAATGTAATTTGTTTTTAAAAATGTTTTCGCCATTTTTTTTTACCCATATTCAGCAGGTTGTTGTTTAGGATTGTCCACAAACATTATTTTAATAATTATTTTTTTTTTGTGAACTGAATTGAGATTTGTGTTCTAAACCATGGGCTATTTAAATGCTATCTGGCAAAAATTTGTTCAATGAATCACTCAAAGTGAAATTTTCATTCCCTCAGCCCCCTCAAGTTCAGCATGAGGATAATCATCCTTATTGTTTTTCATTATCCTTTATGCACTTTATTAGATAAATGCAGATATATTCTGTAATATGGACTATTTATTTCTTTCAATAAGGGCATATGTGTGGTTTTTAATATATAATTACTTGCATTATTGAGTAGCAAATGAAAGTGCAGGCACATAAAAACAACTTTTTTGGGGACTAAATGCCCAGTCTAACCTCAATACCTGCATTTACAAATTGTTCTCAGTTTACTTCTCCACATACATGTATAACAGTAAGAAGCACACATACTGTATACACTTAGTATGGATTCCTTCAAAAACATTCAACTGCAAACCTCATCACACACCAAGCCCAAACCAAACACAAACTGAGATATGTATAGCTCTATTTTTGCTCTCATTTAAAGGTGCTTATACACATCAGGATTAGACATTTAAACCTCTTAATGGCAAAAAAGAGAGAAAAAAAAATTCAGGCGTCTGTACAATAAAATAAAACAACTGTAAAATAACACGACTCTGTACAAGCAAACCCTTAACTGTACAATTGCATAGATTTTACATGTTTGGCAAAGGATTTTCTGTACTATAACCATTTTTACAAGAAATGACTATCTTCTTGAAAACCATAAATAACTGTAAATAATTGCTTGTGTACAGATGAGAAATTCTACTGTACTGTAAGTTAGTTGCTGTATTCTGTCTTTTTTTTTTTTGGATTCATATAAATATTAACTACTGTCACTGATATCCCTTCGTAGCTGAGCGGGGGGTCTGAAGTTGAAGACTGGTTGTAAATAGCTTGCTCTGTTTCTGTTTGTTCTTTTCTGTTTGATCAGAAATGTGATGGGTTGAAGTCTGCACTCAGATTTGTCTGTCATGCATTTCTATTTAGAATTCAGAAATCTTACGGTATGTACAAGTTTTAATGACGTAAGCATGATAAAGTCGAGCACTGTGGGGGCTTGAAAGAGTCCTTACACGAACTGATCACTACAGTATGTTAGCCTAACCTCGTTCTGTACGATGGGGTTGAGTATGTCTGCGTATCATTGGTCATTGGTTGGTTGCTGAGTTCCACAATACCCATTCCCAAATTAGAGACACTGTCATGAAGTTTATTATTTCATTCTCACTGTTGTGAAGGGCATCAGAGCTGAGTTTATGTGACGAAAGCACAAGCGAGTGAATTAGCTTTTTACATGGGGCATTCAGGGAAATAGTGCTTTCCAGGATGGAGAGGATATTCATTTATAAATATTCACTTTCATGTTTGCAATGATTTTTGTTCTTTTAAATAAAAAGAATTTATTTGTCATTTGCGTTAACCACGTCTTAATATATACAAAAACAAAACAGAAAATAAGACATAATCGGTTCAGTTTATTGATAATCTGACATGCCAACCAAAAGAAATGTTTCACACACTACTGAACCAGCTGCAGTTACATTTTAAAGTATGCATACACACACTATACAAGAAAAAAACAAAAAACAAATTAGCTTGCATTGTATGGAATAAAATAGGAATATGAAAATGTGTTTAGGCAATACATATTACTCTATTGTGTTAAAAACATTCTGTTCTGTTAATTTCTCCTAATGTTAACAAGAAGAATGTGAAATTTCACATTCATGGAAATAAATGAAAGTCATGATTATGCAAGCAAGCATTTCCCTGTTGGTTCACATCTTTCTTTTTTGTACGTTGGTTACTGTAACTGTTTTTTACTCCAATGAAAAACACAAAAAAATTAATAAAGGCTTTTATTTTGCATCTCTGAAATTTGATTTTTTTTACATTAACTCTGACTGTCATATATATACATATATATATATATATATATATATATATATATATATATATATATATATATATACACGCATATATATATATATATATATATATATATATATATATACACACGCCATTTTTGTTTGTGACTGTAGTTTTTGCCATTCATAATAGAAAAAAATACACTACACAGTAGGCCCAGAGCCGTTGAAAAATATTTTATTTAAAAAATATCATTTTTTAACGGCTCTGAGTAGGCCCTAGAAGATCATTGCATTGGATTCATTCATGTTCCCAGACTCTTTTTGCGTTTCAGTGATATTGGCCAATCACAAAGCTTAACACAGACTTACGTAACACGTCCTTCTAGGGGGAGGCGCTTATTGCGGCCTTTAGAAAAAAAAACCCTCAAGCCATCTAGATTTTTCAATGGAAACCGCCCAGGTTTATTCTATGAATTATTAAATAATTACTTTTCAAATTCTATTTCGAATATTGGCATCTACATAGACGGCGTCGTTGTTTCCTGGAGCGGCTCAAACGAAAAAAAGGTAAAGCGTTGCTTTTGTTTTGTACTCTTTCTCTTCTGCCGAACTGTCGCTGCAGTCATGGCGCCCGTCCGCTCGGTTGTAGCACTCGTCTTACGGGAAGGTGTTTTAATGGCTCCCCGTATCGCTGACGTCTGTTGACGCGGGCACTTGCGTGCCAGTGACTAGCTTGGAAGTTTCTGCAGAGCGCGGCATTAAGTCGCCCACAGGCTTCACAACACACCGCAGCGGTTTGTTTAATTTAGAGATGTGCATTTGGTCAGGATCTCATGGGGGAATAAGACTTAAAGTCTCTGACACTCGTGCAACATTTGCAACTGAAAAATGCATCAATCTCCTGTGATGGAGCTTTTGTGTAGTAGAAACAAACCCGCTTATAAATACCAGCGGAATGTTATGTATTTTGACAGATACGTTATGAAATGACATCATAGATATCTAATTTTGTTTAGCATGTTAGCTGATCTAGCCTCAGATTGTTTGTTTTAAATGGGGACTTTTAACAGAAAATATTACCGAAAATACAGAATCAACAGGTTCGAATATATCACACGGTTATTTTAGCTTAATTAGAATAGAAGTAAACCAGATATTGCTAGTTTTTACTTTTTTTTTTTTTTTTGGAGGAACGTGATTATTTGATGGGCGTTATTTAGCATCCGGTTCTGTTAATAACAACACAAAGCATCTGATTTAACTTACTGCTACTGAAAGGAACATTAGTGTCTTCCATGTTAAGTAGCTAATTCTGTTTTTTCCCCATTACATTGTAATTTAGTGATTTTATTTCTTATTTATTGTACTGTTTAGTGTTTACATGAGTTTACTGGAATCAAAATTATACATTTGCAGCATGGTTGCAGCAATGATGCATAGAAAACAACCCACAAGGACAGTGCAAGTGTGTGTGTGTGGTGGAGCCACACAAACTTTGAGTGGGACTGACTCAGGGCTGGGGAAAAATGGAAACACTGACTAAATCAAGGCTTTTTACTGGTAGACACAACACACACACACACACACACACACACGGCCCATCCGTTTAAACATATAAGAACAGATAAAAGCCAGTATTCTTCAGCATTCTTCTCATGTTTGCTGTCACTCTGTAAAATAATACATCAAAAATTATTGGGTTAAAAAAAAAAAGTCCCGTACAGATTTCTGAAAAAAAAAAAAAAAAATTATATTTTAATTTATATTAATCATTTTAAATGTAACTTTTTTTAATTACAATTTAGTTTTTTATCAAATCAGTTTAAATGTAAATTCTGTAACTTTTTTAAACGCCATTTATTACGAAACATTTTCAGTATTTGTTTGCAAGGCATAAACGTATATGATCAAAACTGTAAAATATGTCAGTAACCTGGAAATATGAGGAAAATTAATAAAAGCATGTGGATATTTCGATGACTACTTATTAATTTAAAAAAAATATATAATCATCTTTAAAATATTAGCCATAAGTTGCTCATTTCAATAATCACTGAAATCATGTACTGTCTGTGTAAGTACTATATTTGAGTATATATTTACTATATAAAATGAATATGGGCAATATTATGAATAAAATTCAGATGTATTGACATATTTATTACATTATGTGACCTACCAGCATTAGTTTGGGCCACTTCACTGTCATTCATAAATCCCCTATCCTCACAGGGTTGTAAAGTGTCAATCGAATACACACTTAAGAATCTTTTTTTCTAATACTATGTTTTCGGACATACTGTTTTTCGAATACTCCATAGTTGATAATCAATTTATGATGCAGCACAGGAAATTAAAAAAAAAAATGTCAAAAGCCCTTCATATGAGTATTGAGTGTACTGACCAAATGGAAAGCATCACATCTACATTAAGTATTGATCAAAATCTATCCCTGTTCATTTACAGTGGCAATGGAGGAGGTCCACCAGAACAACAGTAATGGCTCTGAGTCTCAATCTATTGCCATCCCCACTACTATAACTGCCTCTCACATATCACAGATAGCACAGGTACTGTTAATGTATGTACTTAATATGTACACACACATTCTCATGATGACTAAATATACTGTTTGACTAAAACAGCAATAAATATGCTTGTTTCATGTCATTCATCTTCATCACATTGTGGAAAGATGTCTCTGGGTGGGAATCAAGTGGCTGTGGTTCAGCTTCCCAGCGGTCAGTTCCAGGTTCAAGGTGTGATTCAGTCAGCACAGTCATCAGTTATCCAGTCTCCACAGGCACATGCACAGGTAACATGCACACACTCATGCGGTGTGATCTTCAACTTCCTAAACTTTGTTTTTTCTTCAGGATGGAATCAGTGACATGTTTTCTCTCCACTTAAACACTGTTTCCTATTAGGGTCAAGGATCTGACAGTGATGACTCTCAGGACTCAAGCGACAGTGGGGCATCTAACCAGAAGTCAAGAGAGATCTTGGCTCGCCGCCCATCCTACAGGTATAGAGCCTGGGAAAATAAAGAAATAAATATGTATGGCTCCACTGGGCCTGATGATGAAAACCACCCCAAAATCGCACAGATTCTAGCTATATGTAGGCCTGTCGGGGTAGTCAATAAATCAATTAATCGCACGATTTTAAAAAATGAGCTAGATAATTTTTCCGGCCGTGATAATTTCCATTTGCATGCTTCTTTGTTTTCCTCGTCTCTCTCTTTCTCTCTCTTGGTTCCTTAGCGTAGGAGAAGTGAACTAGAGCTTAGATTCTCTGCCCGAGACCGATTTATTAAGGGAACGCACTTTGCGTGCATTCAGTCATGCCAGACCATTGCTTTTGTTAAATTAACAGTGGTTTGTGTGTTAATGCTTTAATAACAAATAGTTTATCATAGGGTCGGGTTTTGTTTACACTTTAAATCAATTTTACTTATTGTTTTTGGTATTTATTCAAGTGCATTTTTTGTTAACGGAGACTGAGAGTCCATTGCTTTTATTGTTTTTGGTTGTTTTGTTCATTTATTGTGAATATTTAAAATGTTCTCCATTTTAAGTCTTAAATAGTCTTTAGGAATAAAAGTTTATTGATCTTTGAAAATGTGTTCCTGCATTATTATGCCATTATAATTATTTTAAATGTAAATGGTCTCAGAACGACAATATTATCGCTTATCGCAATCATTTCTTGGACAATTTATTGTCTAGCAAAATTTGTTATCATGACAGACCGATATACAGTATATGTATCTAGGGGACTTGCCAGGTTGAATTTATCAGAGCCATTGGGTTGGGTGGATGCTCATGTTGGCCACGCTTCTTCTCAATCTGTTGTGAACACAGTTCACAAAAATCCATTAATTTTCATGGTAATCAGATTGTGTAACCAAGCATTTTCTCCCAAGCATGGTTCTCCTGCACTTTAATGACTAATAAATAAAAAAATCATAGACATTTTTAGTTCTAGTCTACCTATGGAAATGAAAGGAAGTTAAATATTACGTGGGCATATTAACTAGTACACATAATATACACTCCAATAAGACTTACAAATAAGATTGTCAATTTTGATTTCATTGTGAATTGAAAGTAAACGTTTTTCTCATTGAAATAGTGCTTTCTCCGGCAAGCACAAATACATTTTATATACCCAATCATAAACATTAGTATAGTTCTCAAAGCTCACATTAAGTGCATCTTAAATCATTTTATACAATTGTTTGTTTGTGTGGTGTTATTTTTATTAACAAAACACAGAACCAAAAGCTGCTTCTGATACTATGGAATGAGGCAGGCTACAATCAGCATATTCATACTTCTTTTGTAATCAAATAAATATCTTTGTGTAGATTGTTTTTTTGTTTTGTTTCTGGATCCTTTTCAACTTTATTTCAGACATGTCCTTAACACACACATATAGGGGAGCTACAAGCAAAAAATGGCCAAGCTCTAACTTCAAGAAATGTCTCTGGCACACAACAAAGAGTTTAGGCACTACATGAAAACTTTCTGTTCCTTTTTGTTTCAGGAAGATTCTAAATGATCTATCAGCTGAGGAAGTGGCGACTCAGAACGAGGGAGAAGAGGAAACTTCTACCTCCTCTGCCATAACAAGTGTCTCGCTCCCCACTCCAATCTACCAGACAAGCACTGGCCAATATAGTAAGCCATGTCAGCATGCTATTTAAACACAATGGGTTTGAGAGGTAGTGAATGCATCATGTAGTAATATCCTATTTTGCAACAGAAATTTAGTGGTTAACAAAAATGACACAAAAGCCATGCAGTTTGTTTTTTAATGACCCGTACACACTTGATTTTGAGCACAATTGTAATAACAAACAATTGCATAAAAAAAAATTTGTTTGCTCCTTTGCAGTTGCGATTTCATCCAATGGCTCTCTGCAGCTCGCCAGTGGTTCAGAGGGCATGCAAAGCCTGCAGACTCTCACCATGACCAACTCGAACCCAAGCCAGCCAACTATACTCCAATATGCCCAGACTGCCGACGGACAACAGATTCTGCTGCCGAGTAACCAGGTGGTGCTCCAAGGTTGGCAATCAAAGTCAAAAAGAGCTTTTCATTTGGCAATCAGATCATACACTAGTTGTTTAGTTACACATGGGACACACTCTGGCTGTGATGCTGTGTTGTAGGTGCTGGGGGAGAAATGCAAGCTTATCAGATCCGCTCCTCTTCCTCTTCGCTGCCTCAGACCGTTGTCATGACATCACCCGTTATGAGCTCTCAGGGCAAGAGCGATGACCCGCAAATGAAGCGAGAGATACGCCTGGCGAAGAACAGGTGGGTGAATTGATTTGTTCTGCTAGATGAAGTTTATTGTTAATGTATAAGATTCTATGGGGTTTTTTTTCATGTAGGTACCGGTACTTTCTTTTTTTTTTTTTTTTCATTGTTAGCCTAACCGTGCTTTTTGTCTTATCCGAATCTCTTCATGCAGGGAGGCAGCCAGAGAGTGTCGCAGAAAGAAAAAGGAGTATGTGAAGTGTTTGGAGAACCGCGTGGCTGTCCTGGAGAATCAGAACAAGACTCTTATCGAGGAACTCAAGACGTTAAAGGACCTGTACTGCGTTAAAACCGGCTAGTGGGACATCTCTCCAATCTTGCTTATGGGACTTTACTGGCAGACCTGTCTGCCTATGTGCTTATACAAAAACAAACACAGGGACTTTTTTTGGCTTGGAGAATGCATTTAATCCTCCTGTCAAATGCTTGTTTTTATACAACTCATTTTTAACTAATAGCCTAAGAACGATTGACCAGAAACAATAGCAACGATTCTGCTTTTAATAGATAGATGGAAAGAGGGATTCTACATTTTTCCATTAACATATTTTTCTTTGCAGTCAACAGATGTTTATATTTGTATATGTTTCTTGTGCAAGCATTGGCACGTCTACACTGGGAGATATTGCTTTATTCTTGACCCATTTGGTTTCCAGGGAATTTTGAATGTTAATTTTATTGAAGCGCTAGCTGATGTTTTTTTTTTTTTTTTTTTCTATGGTAGAAGTGCAGAAGTTACAGTGATATTTTTACACCTTTCTCAGAAGCGCTTGTATGTATGAAATTTGTGACGCTATTGTGTGTTTCATGGAGTCATGCAGCTGTGTTCTTTGCATTTTTGCTATTTCCCCCTTTATAGGAACCTCTGGTATTCCTTTCCCCATTCCATATTTTATTTTACTGAGTTTTAGTGAGACGTTTTCTACAGAGACCGCAGAATTTAAGGTGAGGACTTTCAGCTTTATTATTATTATTTAAACAGTGGTAAATTCAGTTAAGCCTTATTCTGGATTGATACACTAGTCTTGTATAATTTAATCTGTGCCCTTTTTAGTCCAAGCCTTGCTAATATGTCTGACTGATCTGTAAGCCATATACACACTTAGGTTGGGACTGTTGGTTTTAACTGAGCAATTGACCCAAGGTTTACCACTGTTTATAAGCCAAGCTGTTACAAGACAATCGAATCAGGGAGCATCCAATGAAAAAAACAATGTCACTTGTTTTTGGTAAAGTGAAAAAGCTAAATAAATATTTTTCCAGCCTTTGACTGTTTTTCTCTCTTTCAGTTTCTATGTTGCTTGACTGCTTTTTGGCTCAAGGAGGCCCTTGAAAAACTACTCAGATGGTCAAATAGGAGATGCGAGGTTAGCTAATGAAATGGTCTTGGTCAGTACTTGGGAAAACAGAATGTCTTGGTTTGTTGCAATTAAAAAGATAGCCTGAAAACAATTTCATCTTTAAAATTATAGCTTTATTTTTTTCATAGTAAAATATAAAGAATAGTACAGACCCCCTAAAGGGACGTGGTGGTAGAAAATGAGATGGGAGAAAATAATTTCTCCCAAGAAACTTAGCAAACAGTTTCTGGGTGGAATGCTAACATTTGCGAGAACAGCAAATTAATTTTATTTATTTTTTCCACCCCACCACTATGTCACTTTAAGGGCTCTGTAGTTCCGACAGTCACGGACATGAAAACATCCGATTGTTTTAAAAGTATTTTTCGGGTTTAAGAAAAGTTGTATAAATTAATAAAAAATTTCTGTTGTGAAATTACATTGTTCTTTTTCTGAGTACAATGTTAGTGAATGAATCTCATGCCATAATAACAAGTATTGAAGTATGAAGGTAATATTACATTTAAGCTTCATGAATGGATGTGGCGTAGCTCCAGGTCAGAGTAGTAGTAGTAGCCTTTATTGTCACGTAGTCACAAGTACCAGTGAAATTAGCCATCAACCTATCCATCAGCAGTGTTGTGCAAGTTATTTCCAAACTGTAATACATTAGGTATTACTTGTTACTGTTATTTAAAAGTAATTCATTACCTTACAATATTACTGTCCCAGAATTGTAATGCGTTACATTACTCATGTATTACTTTTGAGTTACTTTCACCAAAATAACTAAGTAGAACTTAAATTTTGGGCTGTAACGATATTCAATATGAAACCGAAATCGCGATTCGCCACACGACTCAGATCCACGAACCTACAGAATCGCGACACACCTCTTCCAACTCCAGCGTTATTCTCCTTACTGTCCAGATCCAATGCTGCCTTATCTTTAAATTAGGCTATTAGTATTATTTGAAGTTAACATTATAAAATACGTAGACCTACACCACAAAACTAGTTGAGGATAAATTATTTAAAATTGGGGAAGTCCAGCATTATGGACATGACATTTGCAGTCAAAACTTGAAATAAAAATTCTCAGAAAATACATGTATTGAAACGTATATAGGCTACTTCCTTAAAGGACTCCAGACATTCGACAAATATCAGTCTATGTTTTATTTTTAATATTAGGAAAAAGACACACATTCATGCGTGACAAAAAAATAGGAGGCAAAATATATTTTTTGTAATTCTGTTAATTACACTGCGCAAATCGGATGAGGAAGGGTTGGCTCTCCAGTCTCCATAGAACTTAAAATATTCATTTTATCTTAGTTTTTGTGTTCGTTTATGAGGAAAAAACAATGTTACAGACGCGACCGCTCTGAACTGGCACTAAAAGACTGCTTTAAAACTTTCACATAGTCTGTTGCCTTTAAGAAGTAAAATCAGGCAATACACTGTAATACAACTGTAATACAAGCCTCACTGAACATGTAACGAGTAAAATATTACTGAAAATTGATTAGTAATGCCTTACACTACTGCGTTACAGCAAAAAGTAATATGTTACTGTAATGTATTACTTTTGTAATGCGTTACTCCCAACACTGTCCATCAGACATACATACAATAAAACAAGGGGGTAGACAGGACAGGAAGACAGAGCATTGAGGAAGAAATACAGCATAACATGAGGAGAGGTGAGGAGAGAAAAAAGGCAACCCTTTTAACCCCCATACTATGCTCCTGTGAGGAGTACAGTTTGGGAACAGTAAAAAAAACACCTCAGCAACATTGGCACATAATCAGTACACTCTACAAAATGAACAGACAAGACATGCAACAGGGTACGAGAGTGGGGGGTGGAGGTGAACCAGCAAGAGGAGGAGGAAAATAGTAGGAAAATAAATATATTATGGAAGTCAATGAGACCAGAAACTGTCTGGTTACTGATATTCTTCTAAATATCAGAAAATCGGCTGAATGGATTCAAAAACGGTAAAACTCAAATGTTTAACTCTGGGGGAGTTGTAAAATATTTCCAAAAAAAGTGGAGTATCCCTTTAAAAGTAGATGGTGAAATGAAAGAGACATGCTTGTTAAAACCTTTAGAAGGTTCTTCTGTTGTGGCAAAATGTATACTTCTTATTTGATGGCATAACCACAAATGTGAGGTTTGATCATAAAAAACAGAGGAGCTTGGATGTGGCGTAGCTCTAGGTCAGAGAAGCCAGCTGCCTCAATGTGCTTCCAAGTAGCACGGGTTGTCTGACAGCCATCATAAATATAGTACCTAAAAAACGTACAAGTAGTTATAGAGTTTCCTATTCTATTGTGGTCATATTATTTGTTAGCAGTATTGTAAATGGACACATTCTGGGTTTATAATCAAAGCAACCCCCATCTCTCCCTCTCCAAATAAACCCATGACCTCCAGTTATGTGTAGGTGATAAACAGTGAGAGAGTGAATTAGGGTGGTCACCCTAGAGTATATATTTATTTTTAAATTTATGCAAGAATTTAACCCACCCCACGTTTTTCAAAGCTCCAAAATAGTCTTTAAGCTTTTACATTCACAAAATCTGTAATTTCAATTAGAATGTCCCCCTAATTTACTCTAGCTTGAGATGATTAACTTACCTTGTAAAAGTTATTCAAATTCATTGGGGGCCATATGTAAAATATTATGGTGATTGATTTTATAAATTGTTTTTTTAATTACCAGAATGGCTGAAGAACATGTTGAAAAAAGTAAGTCCATGTTGAGGGGTCAGACACCACATGTTCAAGGAAGAAAAATGCTCCTCCCTGAAGAACAAAAAGTACAATATTTACATTACTCAACTCAAAATTGTGTATTCGAAGACAATGAGTTTAGTTTACAAGGATCTAGTATTTAAAAGCTTTAAAACAGTTGTCTACTACTCTGTGACATTTGCCCTAAAACAAACAGTTGTTTCTATCACTGCAAACGGCGATCTACATGTGGTTACGTAATGCTGTTATTTCATCTCAGATCAGATGTAATAATTGTAATCTTTAAGTAGGCCTACTCCTTGATGGATGGGGAGTGAAAAGATGACAATTTATGAAATGTGACAATACCCAACGAGATGAGATCCTAGTTCCATCTGGGTGGATGTTTTCATAAACTTACAGGCCTGAGAACTCTCTTTACTTCTTGCAGAACTTTCGGCGTATCTTGGACTGAACACAGAACCAGTGTGCACACCACGACATCCAGTGAGTTCTCCTCCACCGCCTGTAGATTCTCCCCCGACGCCACTATGAAGCTGTCATATACGAGGTGGTCGTTTTTCGCCATACTTTTCTCCAGGTAGTTTTTGAAATGCGGGTTGGGGTCGATGCATGTGATCCTGCAGCCCGTCGGATAGTGCTCGAAGTTCGCGCCGGATCCGCAGCCCACTTCCAAGATGCGCAGAGAGCCTTTAGTGGGGTAGAATTTGGACAGGTTTCGAAATAGTTCCCCTTTCTTCTCGTTCATTATGTAATTGTACGCCAACGTTATTTTATAGATCATTACAGGAATTACGCGTTTGTAGAAAGACAAGAGTCCTATCAGCTCCGCAACGTGTAGCGGTAGAGTGAGGACTTTGCATAAAAAAGCGCAAGCGTTCATAATCAGCGTCATTTTTACAGACAGACCCGAGTTCTTGACTGTACTTGTGTTCTTGTGAAACGTCATCACCAGTCGCTGCCCAAGTACTGTTCCAATTCAAAGTTCACATCCATAGACAATAAAAGAAAGTTCACATCTAGCCAAGTCCACTTCAAATCCCCGGATGTGTTCCTGATCCGCCCTGTTTACCGACTAACGTTACCGAGGATGTAGAACAAGAATCTGGTGGAGTTTGCAGAAAACAATTTGATTTCGATTTTTTATGAATTTATTAAATATTGCTATATAGCCAGGTATACAGTATAGGACTTTGGCAGGTAATTAATAAATAATAAAACAGTAAAACAACATGAAAATCACCACAATGGTAGACAGTGAGATGTAGAACAATAATCTGGTGGAGTTTGCAGAAAACAATTTGATTTTCATTTTTTATGAATTTATTAAATATTGCTATAGCCAGGTATACAGTATATGACTTTGGCAGGTAATTAATAAATAATAAAACAGTAAAACAACATGAAAATCACCACAATAGTAGACAGTGAGATGTAGAACAAGAATCTGGTGGAGTTTGCAGAAAACAATTTGATTGCGATTTTTTATGAATTTATCAGATATTGCTTTGCTGCAATGTAAATATTCATGGTTTTGGCAGACAATTATTAAATAATAAAACAGTAAAGCAATATGATAATGACCACAGTGTTAGTCAGTGAGATGTAGAACAATAATCTGGTGGAATTTGCAGAAAACAATTTGATTTAATTTTTCTATGAATTTATTAAATATTGGTTTTACTATTTAATAATTGCCTGCCAAAGTCCTATAGACTGCATTGTTATACCTTGTACCTTCCTATACCTTGTTATACAGCTGTATAACAAGGTATAGGAAGGTACAAGGTATGGGTATAGGCAGTGCAGGACTTTGGCAGGCAATTATTAAATAATAAAACAGTAGATCAACATGAAAATCACCACAGTGGTAGTATGTGAGATGTAGAACAATAATCTGCTGGATTTTGCAGAAAACAATGTGTTTTTATTTATTTTATTATTAATATATATTTTTAAAAGTCTGCCGACACCAAGCGCATACAAGTGGTCCTCGATGCAGAGCCAAATGGGAGGAGCTGGAGCTCTAGCTCCTCCCCTCGCTGGAGCTCCAGCTTCACCGCGCACGCGCAGGTTAACTTCCGAGCACTCGGCATGATACACCTTCAGCCTACCACGCAACCTCGTGTAGACGCGCAATATATTTTAAGCGTAGATGGCGTGACCGCGCTTTTCAGAAGCACAGATGGCGTGACCGCAGTCGGACTTGACTCTTGAGATATCCAGGTATCTCAGAATGCATCTCGCACCAACCAAGCGTCAATAGGAGGGGAGAAAATCCGCGAAATATCAAAATACTACTGTTGTTGTGTTATGAAAGGTAATTTTTAGGCGAGAATGTGATTGCTTAAATCTCAAATCTGTGGTTTATTTATAAAGATAGCGCCTATTTGAAAAATGCATCTAACGTTTTCGGAATTCTGACATTCAAGCCTTCACCGGCGCCCAGCGATCATCAACCCCGACTGGAACAGCTTTTCCTCGGCTAGTGCTTCTGACGTTTGCCGCTGGCTCTGATGTCTCTAGTCTGGTGGATAAACTTGTGTATAAGTCTCATTAACCCTCAAGCCGCCTTTCCACTGCACACGACATTCGCATGCGATTGTCGCATTTCGCCCCCTAGTGTCAGTCGCACAGAACTTTGAAATTGGTCGTGAAGCGAGATATATCCAGCTGCAGACCCGCAGCACCACCAGTTTCAGAACCCCAGCGCCAGAACCGGAAGTGAAGGAGGGGCGGAATTCTTATTATTGCATTATAATTATTTTAGCAAGCATGTAAGGACAAACCGGGCCTTGAGTTCCTCATTTGATACATTGTAAGTTAAATTTAAACAAAATTGTTGTGATAAAACAGGCCTAGCTTGGGTTGAATTGGTCCTTTTGTATAGATTTTTTTAAAAATAATGCCGAATTTTCTTTTTTTAGATTTTGACATTATTTTACACGAAAAATGCATGCTGCACATGTTCTTGTGAAATAAAGTATATTTTATAAAAAAAATACCCATACTTTTTTTAATTTATTTTTTATTAAACAATCAAAATCATCTTACAAATACATCTTCAATATCAAAACAATTTAAGATTTTTGTAAACAAAATAAAGAAAGAAATAAAGAAATAAATAGAACATAAAATATCACAGAGGTCTAATGAGTTATCAGATTGTTTATAATTTTGAAAACCTCCAATGATTGTCTTGTTTTATATCTTTCAAAGCTTTATTATACAAAGTTAACTCCTTCATAAAAACCAAAAAACAAAGGTCTTATCTTCCTAAATCTACACGTATGTATAAACTGCTTAGCTAAAATTATTAAACTGTTATACATTAAAATAGAGTCTGGTTGAACCAGGCTACATTAAAATGCCCATAAGTTTCAAGTATTATTTTTTTCACCATCATGATCAGGAAGTAACTCGTAATACAATGAAACGAATAACTGAAACTGTATACAATTATTTTACACAAAATCAATGTTTTAAAATGCTTATTGTACAGTAATGTATAGCATCATAACATACGTAGAGAGTAGGACGTTTCTTGTTCAATAAAAGCTGTTTCATTTGTAAAATACCCTCCAAATTACGTTAGGTGGCGTTGTTAGGTTTCAAATCTAAGCTCCGCCCCTCAATTACGTTCCTGGCGCTGGTGTTGGTTAGAATCTAACACCGCCCCTCACTTCCGGTTCTGGCGCTGGGGTTCTGAAACTGGGGTTCTGAAACTGGTGGTGCTGCACCAAATCTCAAATAAAAATATAGTCTCAAATAAAAATATAGTAGTATAAATATTGGTTTAATAATTATAAAATATATTTTCTGCTATAGTTAATTATAGCCAACATTTTACAGAGCGAGCGTTTACAGAAAAACATTAAAGAGTTAAAATATTGGTAATTCTAGCCTCGCGCTCATAGTTTTTATTAGAATACATCACTTCCGGTTGGCCGGTCGCATACGGTCTAGACGCAGACGTTCAGATATTTCAACGGATCCAAAGCTCAAAGCGGATCCGAATTTTCCGCATACGCATATGATCGGAACTCCCCGCAGCTCCCGTACGACTCTCCATTGATGAATATGACTGCCGGTCCGACGGCGGTCGTTTGTCGTGTGCAGTGGAAACAAGGCGGCTTCAGGTGCTCTTCGTTTCGGAGTCACACTTGTTATCTTCCCGGTCAAAAGTGACCGGACACCTAAAAATGAAACTTTCTCCATCCCAGTAAAACCAATGCAATTTATTTTTGTTCTATAATATTTATTGTTTTTAATTTAGTATTTTGAGACAATTTAAATGAATTTATTAATATTTATGCAATATTTATGGTTTATTTTTGCCATAGAAAAATATATATTATTTTCTATATATATATTATTTTCTTCCAAAAAATATTAATGCAGTATTTTAGTTTAATATAGAGTCTAGGCCTTCAGAAAAAAAATATTTTTTTGTAGAAAATTAGCACCATCTGGTTACAGTATAGAGAAAAAGCGTAGAATCATGGTGTAACCACTTGATGGCATGTACAGCTCTCTATTGAGAGGCATGTGAATTCCCCAGCTGTTTATGAACACATTTTTGTTGTTGTTGGTGGTGGATTTGTATATATAGTTGAAACAATCTCAAAAACTATTTCTTATAAAAAAAATTACAAAAAACCAATATTCACAATTTTTTTTTGTGATTTTTGGGTCATTTTTGACCAAAGACCACAAGTGTGACTATTTTTTTTAAGACCACTTAGCATGCTCAGACCATGACCTCAATTTTTGTGTGTGTTCACATACATAATGCCATAAAAGTCACCAAGTTTTGTAACATCGCGATGAAGCTGTGATTTTTAAAAATTCAAAACATACTTTTTGTAATCAAAATTTATTGGTGTGTATGTGTATAAAAGTGTGTTTGTATGTGTATGTGTGTTGGTGGGTGTGTCTGTTTTGCACTCTAGATGTTGTAGAGTGTCACCCCTTTCTTGCGGTGTACTTTTTTTTTAGAATTGTGGCCGATTTGTAGATTGTACATACAAAAATTCAGAGAATTTTCCATTCATTTCCTATGGGTTGTCATTTTTGACAGAAGAGCAAAAGTGTTACTCATTTTTTTACGACCACTTAAATTGCTCGAATCATGACCTCAATTTTTTTGTGTGTTCACATACCCAATGCCATAAAAGTCACCAAGTTTCGTAATTTTCTGAAGAAGCTGTGATTTTTAAATATTCAAAACAGATTTCTTTAATCACAATTTATTGGTGTTTTTGTGTATAAAAGTGTGTGTGTATGTGTGTGCGTAGGGGTGAGTATGTCTGTTTTGCACTCTTGATGTTTTACAGTGTCACCCCTTCAATGCTGAGCACTTTTTTTCTGCATCGTGGCCGATTTGTAGATTGTACACACAAAAAAGTTTTTGTGTTTTTGTCAATTTCCCATTCATTTCCGATGGTCGGTCATTTTTGACCGAAGAGCACAAGTGTGACTATTTTTTTTACGACCACTTAGCCTGCTCGGATCATGACCTCAATTTTTTTTTTGTTCACATACCCAATGCTATAAAAGTCACCAAGTTTCGTAACATTCCGATGAAGCTGTGATTTTTAAAATTTCAAAACAGAAAATCTTTCGGTCAGAAATGACCGAAGAGCACCTGAGGGTTAAACTATATTATAACTAAACATATTTAGTTATACAGGAAATCGCAAGACGATTTCGATGTATCTAAATATGTTTAGTGAAAGGTAAAACTTCCGAAATCTCCGTGTAAACAATGCGTGACGTAGACGCGCGAGAGATCACTTCCGGTGTAACTTTGGAGACGGTTCAGTTCGTCGGTTCAGTGGGCTATATGCACGCATAAATTCCGCATTTGACGCAAGGATGCTCGTCCATTTCCGGTTGTGGAGATTAAAGCGGAGGAAAACCGAGGAAAACGGGATTATGGCAGAGTCTTCAAAATTTACTGTCCTCTTGTCTTTGAAATGA